GGATGCCAATTTCCATCCCGCTGTGAAAGAAGCAGGACCTCATTTCAAATTGACAGTGCAGAGAATGCGCAAACATATATTGAATTGATGATGACTCTGTGACTTGGGTGTTGTTGGGAAAACTCAGCAAAATGTTGGTCGTTCTCTTCCAAATTAAGAGTGGTTGTTTTCAAACATCTCATTTGGATGAAACGCATGGCAGAATGTTTCCAGTTTGAGAGGATTTGGGCGCTTTCAAGTTCACGTTTCCATCAGTGATCAAAATCAACTTGCTCGACAATCTATTAGTTGTCAATTCTTCACTTGGTTGTTGCTCCTCTGCAATTGACTCACGGATGTACTTGTGAGTGGTCAGTGTGAAAAGTTGGACTCAAAGCTGATATCCTTGCAAGAGTGAGAGGTCATGTTTGTCTCACGAAAAGTGAAATTAGATCACTTTGAGGATCAGTGGCTGGGCCTTGAAGCAGGCGCACAGGGCCCCCGGATGCTTTTTCCTTGGCCATCGACAGACAAGCATTGTCACTCGGATTTACACATCATTGTCATTTTGCCAGCCGTGGCTATTTCATGATCTTACTGAGCATTTGTGAGCTCGAGTGGTCCAAGTTCCTCTAAGTTGCGTAGCCGCTGGTTCTCCAATTGACGGCAGCGAACGGGGAAGTTGCGGAACGTATTATCCTACACCTGAGAGCAGTTCCTGTTCACCTGTCGTCGTGTAACAGCGCCTTGCCCCCGCGCTGGCGTTCTGATTGGCTACAGGCCGCGTGAGTGCGCGCGTGCGCGCGTGCATGCGTGCGTGTGTAAATATACGGACAATGCGGCCGCAGGTCTGAACACGCCGGCCTCGTCAAATTACCCGCGCGTGTGCCGATCCCAGTATCTGTAGAAACTAAAAACATAAGAACCTGTTCATCCATAAAGTGCCCCCCCCCATCTCCTCTCCCTCCCATGTTCACTCGAGCATCTTTTGGGTGTCTTGGCAAAACGCCCGCACCCAAACCTTCAAGAATGACCGGTTCTTTACGATGAAGATGAATCGAGTTTCCACATCCTCCATCCGCAGTGTTTACAGCAGCGAGGAGGACGAGGAGGAGACCTACGACCACGATTATGACGGATCCTTGGCCAAGCCCGGGAAGCGGCACCTCGGGAAAACCCGCTGGACGCGAGAGGAGGTACACGCATGCACCCTTGCGAAGCCGTCTCGACAAAACTCCGGAACGTTCGCCAACCTTGACTCACTGTTTGTTCACCAGGATGAGAAGTTAAAGAAACTCGTCGAGCTTCACGGATCAGACGACTGGAAAGTCATCGCAAGTTTACTATCTGTAAGTCCGCGCGAGGCCATAAACGTCGAGGCATTGAAGACGCTCGAGTGTCGGTTGAGGCGGGAGTTTTTCTGTTTTTAGCCTTCCGCGTTTTTTTAAGATGGCCTGAACTTACGAAAGTGCGGAGTTGTGATCAATAGTCACAGTACCGTGCAACATGAACAAATAGAACAAATAGCAGCGCTAGCAATACGAAGATAGCATGACCAAGCTAACATGAGCACTAAGGTGTGAATGACTCATCGATATAGTAGCGCTTTTTACACCAAAAATCGCAATCGGACAGCTTTTTGCAGGTTGTGGACACAGTCTTAATTTGTCATGAAACAGTCGAGGCTGCGCAGAATTAAGTCATTGCACCATCTGCCCACTAGATGGAGCTCTGACTCCAATCAATCATTTGATCGTCAAACACCACCAACATTTACGACGACAACAAGAACGGCGGACTACCGCCCTACATTTGTACCGCCGAAGCTTCAGAGCATGATCTTGCTCTTATGGCAAAATGTTCTGCTCCTCACCGTTAGCAACAAGCGCAGAAAAAGAACAGTATTTTCTCACACGCGCTTAACAATCAGAAGGGCAAGCCGGAGAACGTTTTGGGTGACTTTCAATGTTTTCGTGTTTTGTACTTGAAATTTCATCCCTCTTTTAGAGTCAAAACAAACAACAAAGGACAAAATCCGTACACCGGAAAAATGTTCTGCCTGTATCTCTTAAGGGATCAAAAAATATTCCGGGATGTGTGTGTGTGTGTGTGTATATATATATATATATATATATATATATATATATATATATATACACACACATACACATATATACACAGTATATATATTTTAAACAAGATACCAATCATCGGATTATGGTTTTGGCATGTCCAACCATTCTGTCTGCTAATCTCAGTTCGCCAATAAGGGATGGATATTTCACAATAGTTTCAGCAAAGCTCCTGCAGTCCATGGTAAAAGATCAGCGCGAGGCTGCCCTGGTGTGCCAGTTGTTGGTGATTAGTGTGTACTTAAAAAAAAAAAAAAAAATTCCTTCTTTAAGTTTTGTTTTGCTATCTGAGCAGTTGTGAGTAAAGTGTCTTCTCTGTTTCTTGATGCACCAGAACCGTACAGATGTGCAGTGCCAGCACAGGTGGCAGAAGGTTCTCAACCCAGAACTCATTAAAGGACCTTGGACCAAAGAGGAAGACCAGCGGGTAAGATAAAAAAAAAAAAAAAAAAGCTAACTAAAGCACCTTGACAATGAAGAGTGCCTCTCCACAATTATGAATATGGATTTTGGCCAACACATGCAGGCCTTCATGCACATGAAAGGGGAATTTTTCTTCTTCAATTTCAAAGCCGACAGTTTTCATAAATCTACTCTTCGTATAATTTGGTTTGACATGTTTTTTTTTTTAACCAAATTGTTAGCCTAATTTTTGTACATCTGCTCCCCCCCCTCACCCGACACACACAAAAACGACTAAGCAGGGGGTCTGGTTAAAAAAAAAAAAAAAAGTCCACATGTGAAGGTGGGGATCCAACCCCAAATCTGCAAATAAGCAGTGGACCCGCAGTATGCAGATGTGAATGTGGCAAAAGTGGTTGACAACGTTTCTTTTTCAAAAGTTGTGCGGCTTGAGAGAAATAAGTAAACTTTTTTAAAGCTGCTTTCAGTCTTGAAAGAAAAAAACAATGAGCTCCTTTGAAAGCAAAAAAAGGTGCCAATTCCTACATGACTTTTCTGAAACCCCCCCCCCCCCCCACACTCCCAGGGAAAAAAAAAAGTTACACAACACCCCATGTGTGTCGTCCCCACTGCCCTCCGAGGCGTTTATTGGACGCGTCCGAGGGGTTTGCGTTTCCGGCCAGGTGTCGCTGTAATGATTAGCAGGGCGGCTAACGTTCCACTGGAAACTCCCTCGGCGCTCGGCAGGTGTTGGCAGACACCGACGGCAAGATAACGATAGGAAGGGGGGAAGAAATCCTTACGGAAGCCCTTTCTTTCATTGGCCTCCGCCCGGCAGGTGATCGAGCTGGTGCAGAAGTACGGCGCCAAGCGCTGGTCCGTCATCGCCAAGCACCTGAAGGGGCGCATCGGCAAGCAGTGCCGCGAGCGCTGGCACAACCACCTCAACCCGGAGGTGAAGAAGACCTCGTGGACCGAGGAGGAGGACCGCATCATCTACCAGGCGCATGAGAAGCTGGGCAACCGCTGGGCCGAGATCGCTAAGCAGCTCCCCGGCAGGTGAGAATCGCGGTTCGTGAATGCTCCGCTAATTGTTTGGGTCATTTCGGGGGGGTTGAAATCACATCAAGAGAGACAGACGACTTTGTCCGGAATCTGAAAGTCCTTTGAATGAAGATGGCCCCAACAGAACTCTTGTGGGATGATGCAAAACGTGTCGCCGGCAGGACGGACAACGCCATCAAGAACCACTGGAACTCCACCATGCGGCGCAGGGTGGAGCAGGAGGGCTACCTGCAGAGCGCCGGCGCCAAGGGCGCGGCCGGCTCGCCGCTGGGCCACGGCTACGTCAAGCCGGCCGCCGCTCACGTTTTAGCCTTCCCGCACCACTCGCCCGGTCACGCGCAGCTGGCCCCCGTCTCGCAGCTCAACTACACATACATGGCCGATGCGCAACGGGTGAGTTTGCTTCGCTCAGATTGTCAGATTGCCTCTCGTACGGTTTGCCTGTGATCTGTCATGTGAAAAGTTGCTTCCGTCAAATGAAAAAGTACAAATGGTTTTGGAGGGGGGGAAAAAAAGCCTTCTTCCTCCCAATTGTTTCCTAATAAATTGTGAGCTCTGCCATGTTGCTTGAGAGGCAACGATAAATTGACAAACGGTGGCGGTCTGCCGTTTTAATGAATGTCCCTCACAAATTAAAATCTAAAGGTGTCAGATCCACTTTTTTTTTTTTTTTTTTTGCGTAGATTTCTCTCAGCAGCCATTGCAATACTACGAGATTCATTTTGATAATTTTTTTCTGCTTTAAAAAAAAAGAAAAACACGCTTGTGTTTTTGCGTTTTGTATTCGCTACCAGTCATACTTTTTGGGAATCCCCAAATGATTCCGGTTTTCTTCCTTGTGAATGGTTCAACAGGTGCCCTTCCCCATGGCCTTGCACCTCAACATCCTGAGCATCCCCCAGCACGGAACGGCCGCAATACAGGTACAAAAAGCTTGAATGTGTTTTGATTAATAAAAATGTCAAGAGGCAATCGCCCCCGACCAAACTGATGGCTTTTCCTCCTCGCGTGGCAGAGACACTGTAGTGAGGAGGACCCCGAGAAGGAGCAGAGGGTGAAAGAGATCGAACTGCTGCTCATGTCGACCGAGAACGAGCTGCGAGGCCAGCCGTCGCTACCGGTGAGTCCTCGCGCGCCTGTGAACCAGCCCGACTGGGGACTGTGGCAACGCTACACGCTCGTGAACGCCCTTTTTCTTCCCAGTCCCCAGCGGTTTGCCACGCCTCAAATCAGGCTAAACTCACGAGCAAGGCGCTCGGCTGGCCCGTTTGAATATGAAGCAAAGAGGAGACTTCCAAGTGTTTACGTGTTCATTTCTGGTAGGCCGAGCGAGGACGAGGGGAAGGCGGGATAGGCAAACAGGCTCCCGACAATTTGAGTACAAATTAGCCACGGCAACCTGAATACTTGTAAAACTTGACCTACGAGTTGATTTAGGATTGCGGGCATTTCATCAAGCCAAGAAAGTCAACGCAATCTGTGTTACTCGAGCGGGACGACGTTAGCCGCAAGCGCCCGGCTAGCAACAAAACGAAGGACTATGACAGCCACTCAGATGACGACGAGGAACAGAGCGAAGAAAGGACTGACACGGACAGAACTCGAATTCGGTTGTTAAATTTACAGATGATGGATGATGCGGATGTGCAACGGGAGGCGGGGGCCCGGAGCTCCGAGACTCGCAACTGCAGCTTGATGCCGAGGCCGCCATCCGTCCGCAATTTTGCCCAGCTCAATCATGACTAAATTATCGAGCTACAGCGTGGAACACGACATACGCCGAGCGGACTGGCAGGAATGTGGACGTCGGGGTTTTGTAGATGCAAAATCGTGTTTCAAAAATGTTTCCTGAATCCGTGTAGCCTTCCATTTCTATTCTTGAGGTGAAAGAATGGCCGCAGACGCTACCGTCTGCAGCATTTGTGGGTCGTCCATCTTATGGTCGAGATCGATTTGGAAGCTGGCTGTTCTATTGGTCGAGATCGGTCAAGAGTGCAAGATTGGAAAGCGCATCTGTATTAGCATTCATGCACAAGCCCTTTAAACGAGTCTATTTTATTCATTTGAAAACAACCCAAAGTCCCTAGTTTGTCCATGTTGAACGAAGGCGCGTGTGTGCATGTGCGCGAGAGACAACAGGATTTATGTGCACATAGGCTGACCCGGGGCATTCACCGACAGCGGTTAGCGTTGTGTGAATACGATGGAGGAAACATCTGGGGGGCTGTTGCTGCAAAGAAGTGATGAAACAGGACCTCGTCTTGCTCCGTGTGTGTGTGTGTGTGTGTGTGTGTGTGTGTCCACGACCCCTTGTGCAACACAATACTACTGTCACCCTCCTGCCAACTTCAGTTCCCTTTCTGGTGTTCTTCCATTCCGACGCCCCTTCACTTCTTGTTACCCTTTCACAGTGAGCTCCTTGCTTCCATCTTACATTTTTGATTTTCTGCCCCGCTCAGATCAACTTGCCTTATCCGAGCTGGGTCAGCCAGAGCCCGTTAGCCCACACTTTGGAGGGCGTGGCCATGTCATTACCTCAACACCAGGCGGCCGCGCCCGCCCTGCCGCTGGATCAGAGCTGCCTGCCCGAGGAGAGCGTCTCGGCATCGCGGGCGCATGGCGGCACCCTGCCCGAGTTCATGGAGTCCGTCATTGACTCTGTAAGCGCCTACGTTACGTCACAACATCTCCATCACCAAATGCACCGGATGCCAGCCTAACCCAAATGCACCGCAACTCGTTTTTCCGTTCCATGCTCACATCAGAAAGGGTTCTGCTCCAAATCAGGACGAGCCAAAGTTTAGCGCTCGGTGCAGTCGTAGCATTACTTGACCGATAATCATCACCGGCAGTTTAAAAAAAATAAAAATTTTAAGCCAATTACAGCAGCTAGTATGCGGTTTGCCGCGTCCCAATCGCCAGCATTGACAATTTGTAGTTTTCAAGTCCGTCACCTACAGGTTTTCTTATTTTTTGTCTGGCAGTTGCTCAACCAATCGATGAGTCCCGAGCACTCGGACGGCGAGCGTCTTCCGATGCGCTCGCCCGCGGACGCCAAGGGCCACGAGGAGACTGACATGTGAGTGACCGTCCGCCTTGTGCTTTCAACCAGACATTTCTGCCCACTGACCGCGGTGGCTCTCCGCGGCAGGTTCAATACTCCTAACATACGTCGCTCCGTCCTGGAATCGTCTCCCTGCGCGCCCACGACTTTCAGATCCACCTTGGCCCTGCAGGAGGCCAAGTATGGGCCGCTCAAGCTGCCGGTGAGCAAGGCATGCTACTTTTTTTTAACCGAAAAGAAATTGGATGATCCCAAACAAATGTCTCTTCCTCCGGGGTTAACCCTGAGTTTGTTTGTGTCGTCTCCAGCCCGCTCCTTTGGATCAGCAGATGGTGGAATCCATCAAGCAGGAGCCTATCGAGTGCGCCATTGAGCACCCGCCTCTGAAGAAGATCAAACAAGAGGTGAGCAAACGCCGGTGGACAACCAATGCCATTCGGTGGAAATCCCAACAGATTAAAAAATAGGCATGTGATGTTAACATACTTATTAAAATGAACGAATGGTGGCCGGCGATATAACGGGAGAACACTTTTCCCCCCCAACCGTGTTGGCTGTGTTTTGGCCCCAAGGTGGAGTCTCCGTGTGAAAGGAGTCCATACATGCAGTGGGACGGCCAAGAACTGAACACACAGCTCTTCTCACCAAATGGCCCTGCGCAGGAAGTACCGGTAAGTCCAACCCTCGAGGTCATCAATCAACGCAATCACAAATTGGAAGGCTTCATTCCCCCCCCTGCTTTTCACCCCGCAACCACTCAGGACTTGGTAACAAGTTCGTTGCTAGGCGAAGACGGACACAAAGCCTACCTCCTTCCTCACAGGACCTCCCACAGCCAACTGCCGGTATGTCAGCAATATTTCAATGGATTTATTGGGAATAGTGATTTTTTTTGTGTAACACATAATTTTACAGAATGCATTTAAAAATTTAAACTCAGTATAAATAATACAGTTGATGAAATGAAGCAGTGGTTGATTTATTTTGCTATTTTTCCCCTATTTTATTATTTTGCTCATTTTAAATATAATCATTTTCTTTGTACTCATTTATCACATTCAAATTTCCTTTGAGTCTAAATAATACCAGAAATAAGATGGGGTTTTTTTTTCAATTTTGTGAATTAGTCAGTAAATGATAAAATTAGAAATATTAAAATAAAAAAGTGATAAAAAGTTATTTGTTGTCTTCTCATTTGATAATTTATAGATTAATTGTTCATCAAACAATTTCACATTACATCTTTTGTGATGAGAATAAGCCCTTTGCCATGCATTCTTCAACTTCATCTGCAGATCTGCCAATTTTAAACATCAAATGTGGCCCCTGAGTTGCATAAGTTTGCTCACCCTTGGTCAAAATGTAAATGCCCACGTTCATTAAAATGAAGTGTGACTTTTTTTTCCCCCCCACCTCTCAAAGCCCAGGCTACGCTAATCATGTGTTCTGCCGACAGCCGCTGAGCTCATGGGAGCAGACGACGTGCGGCAAAAGCGAGGAGAGCGCGATGGCGGCCGAGGCGAGCCACATCAAGTACGTCAACGCGGCATTCCCGACGAGGACGCTGGTTGCGTAGACGGCAGCGCGAGCCGTTTGGCTGTTTTCGGGCTTTGTATTTGTTGTGGTACAACAGTTGGGAGATGCGTCACGCCACCACTTGGTCAACCAACCAAAGACTATATATTTTTTTCAAATATAGACAATTGCTTTGGGGTTTTTTTTTTTTTGTTTGTTTTTAGTTTTTTTGAGTTTGGTCTGTCTCTTTTGGTCCTGTCTTTCTTTTTTTATTATCACTGTATTGAAAATGCGGGGATATATCACGAGCATTGGGTTGTATTTTTAATTTTGAATTTTGATATTAATATAAAGAACAAGTTGGTTAATTTATTTTCTCTGTTTTGATGATTTGTTTTGGTTTCTATTCTTACACAATTGGCCAATAGAGCAGTGTTGGACGAATTTAGTATTTAAGCCCTTTTAGCATTATTGCGTTATCCAGTGGCATCTTAATGGATTGAAAACTGACCTATTTGTTGAATTTTATGATTTTATCCTTTTTTTTTTTTTTTTTTAACGGCTATAATGGGTCTACTGATAATTTCAAGTGTTTGGTGCGCGCGTCACCTCTTGTTAAACACAAAACTACTGAACAAGCTGTATTAATGTCAGTCGTGTTTTACGCCGCGGAAAGGGACAACCCTACAAGTATTAAGTGTTTACCACATTGTCACCTTTTAATTTCATTCATATTTTCTTTTTTGACGGGGAAGCATTCAATGAACAAACATTTTATGTGGAAAAAAGGATTTATGTCAACAGTATATTGAGACACGCATGTGTGTGTGAAACCACAAGCTTCACCCAGCAGGATTGACATCAAGATGCACTGGGGGGGTACTAAACTACTTCTATGAAAATTAAGACTGTGCTTTTTTTTTTTTTTTTAATACATGTATTTGAATAGTTTTGGGGTTTTTTTTTGTAACTCAATCGGCGTCATGAGGTAGCCCATTTCAAACACTTTCTTGCCTTTTTGATAACTTTTTTATATGCCTTGTTTAATATTAGCTGTGCAGAAATCATTTTATTAAAACGTTTATACAAGCCAAGTTTTCACATTTTTGATACTTTTCTATACTGCCGAGTAAATAAAGAGTGCTGTTTTTACTACAATCTTGTGTTCAGAGTTGTTTGTATAGGTGAAGCGGGGCTCCAAAGTGTGACCGTGATGCCCACAAATGCTCCCGTCGTTTCAGTATGTGGTCGTAAAAATATAGAGAGATTAGAATGCAAAACATGTATCTTGCAAGCATTGACGTTTTCTAACAATCACTTGGACGCCACAATGTCCCATCACTGGTGATCTACTTCAAGTACGGGCCGTGGGCTTCTCATGTGGTCCTTGATCAACACAATACTTGCTGTCACAAGAGAAAAACTGGAGGCATTCCACAAAGTTCGCTCTTCAGTCCACAGAATTGCCGGGCAGTACAGCAGAACACTGGTGTTCCACAAGGCTCGATACTACGTCCACTCAACAAACGGGACATCACTTGGCATCCAAGTAGGGATGAGACGGATGGATACGGTTGATGTTCCACAAGGCTCAATACAGTGTCAACAGATGTTTACAAAATGAATGCTAAAATGGCGGCGGGTTAGATCCTCCGCATGAAACAATTGACATTCCACATAAAGTCTTCAAAACGACTCAATGTCCACGCAGTTAAGTGAGGTTTTCAGATTCATACGGACACTGGCCTTCAACTGCCGTGATTATTTCTGTCTAGTGTCCAAGTGAAGTTCACCCCAAACCAAAATATTCATCTTGCCTATTTGAACTTCATGTTTCCATGTCACTCCTGAACGCTCCCCCAAATACAAACGAAAGGCTTCGGATTCAGTCTTTGGAAGGTTCTTGTTGTGCCACGGGGGCCCCGCACAATGAGAAGCGGAGCTATATTTACAACCGAGCCCCCCCATTTGGGCTTCCATCCAACGCACCAACAAGCACTGTCAAATGCAAAATCCCCCCCGCAAAGTCTCAGAGGGAACACAGTTACAGGAACATGATGATATTAGTGCACTGTTTTCGCAATGGGTTTCTATATCTAGGAGCGCAATGGGGAGGGGGGCAGGTGGGTGACAGAGGCTATGAGCTTGCATAGGGAGGCCCAAGTGGCAAGCAGTCTTTCACATTTGGAATTTTACCGCAGCAAAAGCCCCCCGCCCCCTCCACAAAACCCTAAAGCCCACGAGACACACAGACACCTGCTTTCACTGAGCAAGAAGGCAGCTGTGTGTGTGTGTGTGTGTGTGTGTGTGTGTGTGTGTGTGTGTGTGTGTGTGTGTGCGCGCGCATGTGCGTGTGTGCGTGGTTGACAAAAACACCACTCAGATGGATACTGAAAGAAAACAACGTACTGTTGTCTCGTACCAGCCTGGAGATTAAAAAGATGGCTGGTGCGCGTCTCGAGGGCGTACCCCTCTTCTCGGCCAAAGTCAGCCGGGATAGGCTTTGGCCCATCTGCGATGCCAGTGACCATAAGCGGTACTGAAAATTGATGGCTGGATTGAGGTTCACATTAGAAGGAATTTCAAGCCTTGTCGCATGCAAACCACCCAAACGCTGCTTGGCATTCCACATGGTTCGACAGTAGGTCCCCAAAATTTTTCAGCAGAGCTGCAAATAAGTGCATGAATAACCGTCCAAACTGCTTTTCTGATGCATGCTGTCAAAAAAAATGGTACATATTAGACCACAAAGACTGAAATTCAACTAAATCATTCCTTGTTCTTTTTTTTTAAATGACTGGTAATCGTCACACATTTATTTTTGTAAAAATCCTCGAAAAACAGGCCAAACCACTTGGAGCACTTTATGCCTGACTGTCAAACGCAAACCGCAACAACAAAACGAGCCCTCGCCGAGCTGGCCGTCCTTTTATCACATTTTAGCAGCACACCGGGAATGTTATCATTCACAGTGCAGCACATTCATCTTGAAGTGGGAGAGGAGCATGTGATATTCTGATAATGTCAAGTTTCGTCCACATGATGCAATATAAATGATACGGCCTTGCACACACAAACTATATTTTAAATTATAAAAGCAGAAGTTGGAATACTTCAACTTTTTTTTTTTTATCCATCCTCCTTTCCCTTTTAAAATCAAACATGTCTGTCGTAAGCAGGTTGGCTCATAAATTCAGTTTGACATGTCGCAATGGATTTATAGCCGGATGTTGCAGAAGTGGCGGGCTCCCGAGACTGTACAGTACACACACACCCACCCGCGCGCGCACATACACGCGCGCGCGCGCGCGCACACACACACACACACACACACACACACACACACACACACACACACACACACACACACACACACACCTCGTGCAACTTACAGTACAACGCTGTCTGGTGGCCCGCATAGATTAGTCAGGTCTGATTTCCTCATTCCCTGACCACTGTTGTGGTTGGAGATACGTCGACGTGGCGGCCGCTCCCTCCTGCAGGTAGGAGGGCTGGGCTGGACTGCTCCGGCCTGATAACCCCCTCAGTCCCCACCCCCTCCCCCGACCCACAACCCCAGCCCAAATATCCCAATCACCTCACCATCCATGAATGGTACCAAGATGAGAAGACAACGAGGCGGCCGAGTGAAGACATGTGCTTCAGAAAAGTTACAAGAGCAGCACACGAATGAAAATAAGAAGCCATTTGACCACACCTTTATGGAGAGACAATGGACTGGTGCGAGCACATGGCCTTTCCGCACGGAAAGCCGTTGGCTCATTTGTTGGCTATTAACGGATGAAGTTGAATCTGTATGCGCTTTGTCTTAACGAGTAAAACAATTCGCCACAAAAGTACAAGCGTAAAACTCAAAGAGTCGGTCAACTTAACTGGTTTGAGGGGACTGCCTGCCACGACTCATTTCGGTTTAACACGGGAGCTCAAACAACTTACGTTTTATTGGACAAATGATGACAAATCCCCGAGATAATTGTCTTGAAGTATTTCTATTATGGCAAATATTTTGGGGAAATACTTAAGTCTGGTTAAGGTATTGTTTTGGTGTCATAAGCGGAAAGGTAGAGTAACGACCAATCACGGCTCACCTCTTTGGTCATGCAGCTCGCCCGGCACTCTGATGTCATTTTCGGTCGTCAACAAGTGGCAAATTGGCCGCCCTAAAATGACAAAAAAAGACATTAAAATGTTGCTGCTTAATTCATATTTCACATGTTCATCAGAATGCCATGTTTAGACTTGTGTGCACGCATAAAACATCCCCTTTAAGTACAGATACCTTCGAAATATACTTAAAGGCAAGTATTTTTACTTTGTTGGGTACCAAGTTATCCAACTGGTTTTCGTTTTTACTTTTGAGCTGAAGGGATTCGCCAACTGTTCGCGCTGTTTACTTTCCTTCAGAAAAGGACTTGAATCACTACTTTTAACAGTCACTTTTTTGTATCGGTACTTCTGCTTCAATTCAAAGCATGAGTACTTTTGCCACACGTTACACCTATTGTACTCGGCCGTGACTTACAATCAAACACACACACACACACACACACACACACACACACACACGGAATACACAGATTGAGCAGATAGAGGCGGCGAGATGGCGACTGTTGGCGCTGCTGGCGAGGTGATTAGGCTCCTCGCTAACAGTTAGCGAGCGCCGGGCCCAGATTTGGCCGACATTCGTTGGCGGACCGTTTGTTTGTTGTTTTACCAAGGGGGCACAGAGAAAAAACAAGAAAAAAAATACAGTAGAGTGGACATGTGCCTGCTGAAGATAGGCCACAAACAATAACTGTACTTTTTGTGGGTCAGTGGGGCCAACATGCTGCCAACCGGGTGAAAGTGCAAAATGGGATCGATAACAAAAAAGAAAGCGTTGCTGTTTTTTGAGGTGCAGGTTGCTCACGCACATGTTAGCCTAGCAACCATTAGCACGTCATATTTCTCGTGCTATCGTTCCAGACGACAGGTAATGGTGTAAAAACCTTATTGAGCTAACTTTGTGCTTTTTGTATTGAGGTTGCTTTCCTATTATATGTCAGCAGAGCAATTGTTAGCATGATAGCGTTTGGCAAGCTCCCATTAGAAAGAGTCAGCGACCACAGGACATTGTGTCAAATTTCCTGCGGACCCGTCGTCATGCTTTCTGCACTCGGGTTCGGGTTGCTAACTTGTCACAAGGTAACAGAGCAACTCTTCGCATTCTGTTCATCGTGTGTGTGCGTGTGTTTGCGTGTGTGTGTGTGTGTGTGTGTGTGTGTGTGTGTGTGTTCTGACATCTCAGACATTTAGATGAAGAACTCATGCAGTTTTCTTCCACGGTGTAGGCTTGCTTCATTAGAGGCACAACAAGACAGAGACAGTGATGCGGGGGTCAATCATCATGACACTGGGGGAGTCATGCGCGCGCGCACAAGCACATACACACAGCAAATAACATGCTTTCCCGCGCAGGCTTGGTCCAACTTTTCTATTCACCTGGGTAAATAGAGCAGAAGGAAGGGCCTTTCAATGGAGACCACCATGCACACGCGCGCCCACGCGCACACATTAATCTAAGTTGATGCCCAGCCACACGACCCTGAAAAACAATGAAGTCACAAAGTAACGAAAATTGTTGAACTCTTCATGATGTTATTTTAAGTTCTGGCCACATAGCTGAGTCAAGCGGCTCATTTTTTGGAATTCTTTTATTTCCTGCAGGGACCTTTTTGTTTGTTCATTTTTCCCCAAATATATGAAAGCACGTTCCCATTTGGGGCGAGAAAGCTAGGATGAGTGCCAACTCAGCCCTTTTCTTGTCCAGTATACTTGTACTGTAACGTGCAAACTAATATAGACTTCGCCTCCTCCTCTTGGTCGCCCTGGTGGTGGTGTGCTTGCGCTCCATTGTTGCCCTTTAAGTGATGCTGACAAGCGGATTCACATGGCCGCATCATGCTCCACTTGACTGATGCACAACACTTCAGCCTGCACACGCGGGGTTCCCCTCATCGCCAAAAGGGCCCCCCCGCCCCCCCCCCCCCCCCCCGAGCTTGAACTCCTCGCGTCTGTGTGAGTGTGTGTGTCTGAGCGAGCAGGATGGATCGTCACTGCAGCAATGAGACAACAATGCGCTCCCACCTGAGGGAGGGCTCTTGTTTTGTGGTCCGCGGTCCCAAAACATCATTTCAAATGGAAAGGCGCGCATTCACGCGCGCACAGACGCTTTGTGTACGCATGACACCTGTTACGAAAAACAAACTGGCGAAGGAGTGTGTGACGACTGTTGTGACATTATCGCTTCCAAGATGGACAGCTGATGCGTGTGCGCATCGCAAGTGTTGATGAAGGGCCATATGGAGGGAAAGGGATTGATGAGGAACAAAAAAATAAATAAAATAACCACGACCGCTTCCAGCTGACAGTAAAAGCATCACCACGGCGATAACATGCACAATGGTCATTCCATTAAGTACACCTGCAACATCGTATGACAATAAAGGGCTAATCATAACAAAATAATAAGTAGGACAATAATATTTCCCTGAATTGCCTGAGTGGGAATAAAAAAACATTTATTGATCAATTTAGCTAATCAACCTCATCATTATTCCTGTTAGTTCCAAAAATAAAAATTGTAATTCTTAAAAAACTACCAGCAAATGTTTACAATTATTTTGAAGTGTTTTTATTGCTTTTAACATTTTCGTTTTGGCTGCAATACATAAATTCGGGGTGTCAGTCGATTAAAAGTTGCAATGAATTGCATGATTTCTAGAGTTAACTCGCAATTAATCGCACGTTCCTAAAAGTACACTAAAAACGCATGTCAACATATGAGTGAGCAAACACAAATACATTTCTTATTTCCACATTTCACATTCAAGCCCAACAAGTACTCTACCATCACAGTAAACAAAAACAATGACACACCTTTCAATACAATACATATGACCTGCGACAAAATTTGTCATATCTTATCCTTTGCCTAATACCTCAAACTTTTTTTTTTTAAAGGTCGAAGTGGATTCACAAGTCATTACTCAACACCAAGAATAACTTCAAAGTTCCTCTTGCAAACCTCTTTTGCTTTCTCTAGCTTAGCATCGAGAGTTGTGATTTTTGGTTCTTGAGCAACCTTTTCCTTCGCAGTCGCAACACAGCTCGGCTTCCTTACCTGGCCTGCCAACTCCTTCATAGCTTGACTTGTTGTCTCATCTTCCACTGCAATTTTTTTTTTTTCCTTGTTGGTTTATTGGTTTAACATTGTCCAGAGGGCCGGTAACTCTTTCCAAGGTCGCCATCTTGCCAGCCATCCTAATTGTACTCCGGCTGGCACAGGTTCGGCTCTTTCTTCTTCGTTGGTGTCTCAGACCGCGACTTTCTTCTCCTTGTCTTTGGCTGTGTTATCTGCCATTTATGCACTACACTGCCCCTATCAGGCCAATCTATGCAATGCAGGCAAGCAACCGTAAACAAAGCACACGCAACTGGGCAATACAAAGCTAATGAAGAAAAAAATTGTGGTGAGGAGACGTGCGTTTACGCATTTATTAAATTCATACAATGTTGGAACGATTTTTAAATTCCAGTTAATAGTGACAAAAGATTATACACCTGTGCAATAGTAATATCTGAGGCTCTTTTATTTTGTATTTTTGGTGACGAAATAAATAAATACCTGTCGAACGCTGTTTCGCGTACATCAACTTTTAAAACGTTCTGGTGTGTCTGCGTGTGCGTGCGTGTACGCGTTGTCTGTGCGTGTGTGCGTGGGTGTGTGCGTGCGCGCGCGCACGCGCTTAAGTGGTCCATGCTAATAGTGGGCTCCTGCTAGCAAAATGCACAAAACCCCGTGGGCTCAACAGTCAGCTTGACAGAAAAAAGAGCAAATGCAAATATGAAGGAGGAGGCAAAAGGAGGGAAAGAAAAAGAGAGGGAATGTTTTCAGACAAACAAACACGTTCTCCTCCTTGAAAAAATAAGAAATATAACTGGTCCGATTACTAGTTACAAGCGATCAAACCACTTGTGGTATGACGAGCAGTCAGACGGCAACTTTTTTTTCCATTTGAGTGCATGTCCCTAATCTTTTGTCCCTCCCCGTTTTGATGGATGAACAAAATATGAGGCGTTCAGCATTTATTGCAGGGCAATTGTACTGGTGGAGGAGGGGAGAATTTTCGGGTGGGAAATCCTAAGCAAACATGTTGTGTTTGAATTTGCGTGCGTGGGCGCACCTATTTCACCTGAAGATGCCGTGGGCGAGTTTTCAGGCACCTGTCCGTCCAGAGATAAGGGCGGCAGATACCACAGGATGTGATCCATTATCAATTGGGGAACTTTTACCACAGCTGCCTCGGCAACTTTTGTTGATACCGACCAATCTGAGGACACAAAATGTTCAAAATCCATCCCATTGCTTGTTAGGGCCCGTAAAATTGAAGCAACATGGTATCATGTCGACCCTGGGCAGAGTCAATTGAAACTTAAACACTTTGAAGCTGACATCTGATTGGACAAAACAAATCGAGCATCCAGACCAACTTGTTGCAGTGACAGTTAAAGGCACAAAAAAATGAATCCATTGATGAAAAACTAATTCATGATGAAATTCATTGAGAATTATTTTGGTAATGGTGGATTTTCACCTGTTAGGGTGGCTCAAGATAAAACATATCCCCAGGGAAGGAAAAAAAAAAAGACTGGTTCGCAGCACGGCCTGATCACCCACATATTAACCCTATCAAATAAGTTTTAAACCTCAATGATAGACCCCCCCCCGAACCCCTTTTTTTTTGGTGGCGGGGGGGGGCTCCTGCATTTGGACTTAAGAGTACAAAACAAGAATGCTGTCACCCCCCCCCACCCCAACATGAGCACAAACACAAAACCACAGACTTCACAGTCAACTTATCAGAGTTCAACACTCGGCCTGTGTGATGCTTTGCCTCGTCTGCAGAGTGGTTGGGGGGGTTTGCGGGTGCGCGTGCACGAGCGAGCGGGTTTACGAGGAGGTGGCCGGGACAGGCCTGTTTGTGGTGTGTGTGTGTGTGCATGTGTGTGCGTGTGCGTGTGCGTGTGCATGTGTGTGTGTGTGTGTGTGTGTGTGTAAGGTGCGTGGCCGTGCTGAAGCGAGATAAGAAGTTGCAGGATTGTAAAAAAAGACAGAAAAACAGATGGATGCGAACAAACCGCAAGTCGACTGCAGTCGGGCCATTGTTTGGTAGCGCGCTGTTTTCTTCTTATTTATGAGGCATCACGTGAACACGCTGTTGCTTTTCGAAACAGCGTCGCTTTGTTGACAGTCAACACGTGGAAATTGTTGCGTAAACTCGGCGGGCCGTTAGCGCCGACAAGGCTCAGTCTCGCAGGCCGCCAAACAATTGGGGTGAAAAGAGGGCCAGTGATGATTGCATTAGTGGATGTGCACCTTTGACTCCGCTTTGAGGACACGCCATGAAAGTTTGCCCAGGCGCAAGTCAAATTTCTTGCCCTTCAGCCTTGCTTGCTGACAAAATCACCAGCAGTCTGTCCGTCAGTGAATGACAACTGGAAATATCCCAGAGGTGCTCCTTCAAATGGAAGACATTCGGTGTATTTTCCGGCATGTTTTGGGTTTTTTTGCTTTTTTGTGGGTCTACTCATGATTGGCACGGCAAGCAAATGTCATGCTTTGCTTGCTGAAAGTGGCTCTGGGCTCTGCATTTTCTTTGAAAGACTCCTGGAAATATCCACAATAACGCTAAAACGGGTGGAAGTGGCTTTGGGGGCAGAATTTTCTTTGCAGGGCCCCTGGAAATGCGCCCAAGTGACCCGAAAAAGGCCGCCGCAAAGGTCGGCTCCAATGTGTTTTTTTTTTTTTTTTGCACACGACTTCACGAGCCTTTTTTTGTTGTTCGACTCATGATAAGCACGTTCGACCAAATGTGATGTTGCGACGTGAAACTGGTTTCGGCAGGCGAATTCTCTTTGAAGGACCCAGAAATGTCCGGACCGTGCCTGCAATCAAAGCAAACACGTGAAACAAATTGCCGCGAGACGTTGAGGCTTTTATGTTCGGGGGAATCCCTCCAAATGGCGACTCATTTGGGCTGGGTCTAATAACCGCGTGGGTCTGGGTCTTAAATGTGTCTCCGCTGGTCGCGTACCATCTGCCATACCTGCGCCTTTATCAGGGAGTCCGTTAGCCGTGGAATTCCCACTTCCTCACACCTTCGATTGGAAGTGGCGAGCCGCTGAAAAGAGGTCCGAGAAAAAAAAACAAGAGAAGAAATCTGTTCCAGAAAGCAAGTGAGTCACCGTGGAGTCAGCATCAGCACGACAGCCTTTTTTTTTTGTCCGGCAGACGCACGACTCACCCGCGACCTCTTCACTAGCCTCAAAGGTTGTCGAAGGCTTTTCGGCCGTTTCCCTCCATTCAGACGCACGGGTGTCAGTCGGCGTTCTGCGGTGGACGAGAGCGCGCGGCGGAAAGGAGAAGCGGCTGTTATGCAAAAATCATCACGTGACGCAAATTGACATCACGAAGACGGGCGAGAGAGCCGACGCGCCGCCATGTCGACTTGTTGGCTGTTTTCAGGATGCGCATCACCAGCTTGGAAGGCCCACATCACATGACCACTGCAAACACACGCGCAATCTACACTATACACACACACACACGCCCTAGAGGTTCTGTGGTAGGAAGTGAGAATGCCTCCATCATCACAATAACAACGAAAGCAACACAATCTCAGCTGCTAACAGAGCTTCAAGTCGAAAAGAACTGTTTCCAAATACAACACAGCACAGAGAGGAGACCTCTTCACAACCCTGCTCAATGAAAAGGAGGCGCATGGTTTTTCCACGCCACAACAACGAGGCGCTCTAAAGCAACTGTGCCAGCCACACGCTGGCTGTCAAGTTGTTGGTGAAATTTGCTCTCTCCCGCTTTTCACCAATCACGTGTGGGTGGGGAACGCCGTTTTGCCCCGGAGGAGATTTAATGAAACGGCATTGACACTTGAGGAATGTCTTTGACTCGGCGCCATTGTCACCGGGACGGCAGACAGACAGACAGACACTATTGTTCTGCTGCTTTGACCCACATCCCTTTAATTTCTCGCTAAATGGGCCACATTCTTCATAAGAAAACTCCACCCATCCTGGGCACAAACCACACACACACACACACACACACACACACAAACACACACCCGAGTGGCATCCTTTGACCACAATTGCCTCAATCAGAGCACCGCGAGCCCAACAAAAGGGCACACCTAAGAGGGCTCGCTCCCGGGTTGCGCGCGTCTCGTGCCGTAACACACGTTTCGTTGCTCGTTTACCAGGACGTCGTCCGTGGCCACATCGGTTCTTATATGGTGCCTTTCCTCAGCTACGGATAAAGGGAGGAATCCCCGCCACCGGTCGACGCGCACCTGCCACGTTCATCGTGACACGAAAGCGAACGCGCGCGCATATATAAAGATAGAGGCCAAAGTCGAAGAGCCGCCAAGTTGTGTGAAAGCCACACGTCAATCATATGGAGACACCGCATTAAAAAATGCTTTGTCTTCTCCCACAGTTGAAACAGTAAACATATACGTCTATACACGTACACACGCGCGTGCGCGCACATACATACACAGCCACACCCCCGCGCACCGCCACCTTGACAGCCTTTACGGACGCGCTTTTCAAAACAACTGCTCCTGAATCATCTTGTGGCAGATGTTTCTGGGAGGGCAGATTTGGGATTGCAAAACAGGAAACACAGGTCTTGATAACACACGCGCGCGCTCACACACACACACACACACACACACACAAATGCATGTGCACATACAAGCGCCCTCAAAAGCAGCGTAGGAACACTTGTCAAATTTATAGTGAAAAGTGTGCTTTTTGCCAGACCAGTCGGGCCTCTTCTGATGCCCGCAAATACAGTGTGTGTGCATGTGTCTGTGTGTGTGCGTGTGTGTGTCTTAGTCACTCCTCCAGACAAACAGGTACCAGAGGCAAAACAGAAGGTGAGCGATGGTGCGAAGCAGCGTGTCTGACGAATTACTGTTTGTGAAAACGCGCACCGAGAGTACAGGTGGGCAAAGTACTCCCACTCAGTACTTGAGTACAAAGATCCGGTGCTTGGGTAAAAAGGAAGAACTGAGTCAAAGTTGTCAAGCAGGGTTGACATTAGCTCTCTCGTGTATTTGGGTCTCTTTTTTTTTTTTTTAGCGGAGCCCTGAGATACAAGCTTTCGTCTTTGCGTGAGCGGGCTCCAAAGTCAAAACACTCGGGTCTGAAATCCTCCTTCCCCGGATGGCTTTGCCATTCGTCCCCTCCAGCCCCAAAAAACAAATACGCCGTGTGCTCTCAAATAAGGGAAGCGGCACTCTGCAAGGTTGTACTTTGTAAAAACCAAGCAGTCACAACAACGGGAAGTAGAATGGACAGAACAAAACGCTCGCTCCACCGTGCTGATGCCTTGGGTTTCAGCTCCTTCTGGTGTGCGCGCGCCATGGCCACCGGGGGCAGTAGAAAACAGCCCCACAGACACAAACAAAGAAGACTTTCGCAGCTCCTGCAAGTGACTCAGTAAATTGGAAAAATATTTTCACGGAGGATAAAGAATATATGACGGAGACAATTGTTACATGGTATATCTTTCCGTTCAAATATCGGTGCCACAAAAGTTTCCGACGCCACCTATTCGTTAGCCCGTCGATAGCTGGTTGGTCGAGCGGCACTCTTGTTTATAAATGGAGCAGGTAAAAGTCAAAGGCCATTGGACAAATAAATGCTTGGGTAGAAATGTACTTTACAGGAAAAAAGCATACTTACTTGTCACTACTGCATCACACACACACACACACACACACACACACACACACACACACACACACACACACACACACACACACACACACACAAAATTGTTCCACGAGCTGCAGGCAAGTGTGAACACGTATGGCGTCCTGTGAGCCATGCACGCACGCGCACAAACTGGTCAGGCAGGAACATAAAGTCTAGTTGCGTCAGTGTCGGCTGTTGTTTTTTGTTGTCGTGCAGCAACAAAAGGGCCGACATCAAGTTCAAGCAGAATTGTTTGCGTCTGCCCAAACTCTTGACGAAATGGCGTCAAATGAAGCCCGGTGGATGGCAGGGATCATTGGGCGTCGCCACCATGTCATGTCGTGTCTGCGGACGTGCACCCCCATGGCTTGAAGAGGCAGGGCCCGATGGGGCGGCATTTGGCTTTGGCGAGTCTGCCAGTGGGGGGGAAAAAAAGCATTTCATGATATTAGGCAAGTGTGAATTGGGCCTTTTTTCTTTCTGATTTTTGTGGGTGCACTTTGCAGAGGTGTGGGGGCCTTTGGGGAGTGTGTGTGTGTGTGTGTGTGTGTGTGTGTGTGTCGAAGCGGATGTAGCCGCTGCGCAAACAATCATGCTTCTATAGTGTATGTTTGCACAAGAGATGAAGCAACAAAGGGGAAAAAAAAAAAAATTGGAGGCGAAAGTCACATCTGATAAACATCTCGACACTTGGCTGCAGCTTGAGGCAGGTTTTTTTTCTTTTCTGACTTTTTTTTTTTTTTAACAAATAGAAAGATGAATGGGCACGTCAAATGCAAAACTACGCAAATCAGATGCAAAGAGTGAGTCAGCGTTTTGGCGAAAAATTCCCACCCGGCTCTGGGGGCAGGTTTCAGTCAAGTCGAGAAAAGATGAAGTGGCGGGTGCGGACCCGCCGCCGGCCGTCATCGCCGGTACGTGCTCTTCACGCACGCTGCCGGGCGTCGACACGTGGCGGACCGGCACATCCATCGGGACCCCAAAGCATATCGCGGACCAAACAATCATCAGGCTGTAGAATGAAGTGACCCCCCCCCCCCACCCTGCTGAGTTCGGAACACAACAGGTCAAAGCATGTTAACGAGTGGACCCGAGGAGCGTTCACAATGGCTTCGGAGGCCCACTAAGTCCTGGATTTTCCAGCCAATGAGCATTGGGCCGTCTGACCATTCGGTATTGGACCCTTGGACCATGGCCGACTGTACCGCCGTCGCGGCGTGGAATAGAAGGTCACAAGCGGTTGCATTCAAGGGCCACAAACTACTACTAAAGTCTAGGAGTGATAGCTTGTGTTATTTTCAATGACTGGTAGGTGGCAGGAAGCGCCCCCCCCCACAACCCCCCCACCCCGAAGAACTGTACGCTCGGCTCACACCAAATGGTAGTTTATGATGATAACAAGATTCAAGACGGCGATATGATGGAGCTGATCATCTCGTGTTTGTTTTCAAGTCTTAATCCCACGCGCAGACCCTCATCGGAACACGTCAGGTTCTGGTGCGCCATCCGTCACCCCGGAGTAAAGAATCAAAACACAAATGCGCCTCCGTTTTTTTTCTCGTGGGAACCTCTCGGGGCCAGGTATGTCGCTCCGTGAGCCGAGACCATCGGAATCCCGTTTTTCCGGGTCCGGACGCGCCGCCTGGATGGGCGCAACAAACAGTGAGGACGGCGCGGAGGCGCTCGTCGTGTCAGGACTTGTGCCCGCCTTGGGAGAGTCTTCCTGCTCAGCCGGATCCTTTTGGGGTTTGGCCCAGATGCGTCTCTTTCCAAATTGCGTGCGGCGGATTGGCACTCTGGAAGGATGGCTGCCACGCCGCCGGATTGATTCGCCGCCTTTCAAGGGCTGCGTTTTGAGTTGAAAGCACGCGCGCCGGTTTCCAAACGCAGGGCGCAAGTGTGAGAGTGAAACGTCAAGGAAAAGTCCCGCTCGAGTGGGAGAGCGGCGGCAGTGCAACTTGAAATTTCTCACTTTTTTGCGGGTGGCGCGAAACACATTTTTACACTTGGTGCACTGCAACACTTGATGCAAAGGTGACGGGAATTGACATTGAGGTTATTTGCCCTTCAAAACGTGAGGGGAAGTCTTTTAGTTCCCCATCGCCGTTTCATCCGCCAGGAAGATCAACCTTATGAACACGGCTAGACCTGTTTGACATCGCGCACACATTTTCACGTTTAAAAAAAAAAAAAAAGAAAAAAGGGATATTCCCTTTCAATGAGGTTTACAATTCTTTTTTTTTTTTTCTTTTTACTCTACACTTCCCCTCCGGGCGACGACGCCCTCAGTGTTTTTATTTGCGGCTACTACGAGTGCGAGAGTTGTTTTGCAATCCGAAAGAGGAAGGGAAATGTGTCACTCATTCTGTTGTGATGCAACGGCGGGGTGCAGGCGCGCACGCGCTGATGAATTTCGACTTCCCGACTGGGCTTTGGATTTGACTTTGTAGTCATGAGTAACAAAAGGCAATTCGGAATTGGCCCAAAAGAACCATTTGCATTTTCAACAGCACTTAGCCCGAAGAGGGTCCGCCAAACTACACCCTGAACTGGTCGCCAGCCAGTCGCGGGGGACCTAGAGAGACAAACGACCATTCACGCCATCACTGAGTGGGAACCCATCCCCTGCTGAGCGCGCACCACTCCGCCGTGTGCACCGCGACACCGTCAAAGTCATGCCAGCGATGCAAAACCGCAAAACTTGACCTTGAAGTCTCAACACATTTATAGACCCTTCACATACACACCATAAAATGTCATTCGTCTTCAATTCATTTCAAGCACGAGCTTCAGAAGTTTCTTTGAAATGTCTTTTTTTTAATCTTGCACTCCACGTAGACAAACAAAACGAAACGTCATCTACTCAAACTAAGACAAAGTGAATCAAACTGAGCATTGACGACAAAAACAGAAGTGTCGACTACAACAAGCCCGCTCTCCAAACAAAGGCAAAATAGGTGACATTTCAAAACAAAAGTCAAAATGCAAACAGAGGGATGAAAAATGGGAAGGGTGGCCCCTTTTGCGGCCCACCAATCCAAATGGTGGACGGCTCGGGTCCCGGGAAAAGGCAGCCGGCACTTTGGGGGAGGGCCGTGGGCCTGGCTGCAATTTGCATAGGGAACATTTGCGAGTCAAACTTCCCGTGGGCCGCGCCAGAGGAGTGCCGGCTCGCCCGAGCGGGAGCGCACGCGCCGCCGTCAAAGCGTCGCTGGGGTCGAGCCCGGACGCCTTTCGCGGGACGCATTTGCCGTTTGTTTCCTTCGACCTGATCCTCACGCGGCGAGGCCCCTTCTCACTTTCCAGGCTTCCCACACAGTATCGGTCACCCCCAAACAACCAGCCGATAAAATCCAGCCACAAAGCCCGAGCCGATACTTTCCCATATTTTGGTGAGATCTGAAATGACAATTTTAGGGGGGCCAACAAGTCTCTACCTCCGAGCAAAAGAAGCTCAAGCTTGTCTGCACAAAAATACTCCAAAGCATTTTGGCTGATGCATTTTGGTGACTCAAAGAGGCAACGGCACTCATTGATTTTCTTCCAGATTTTTGGCCACCTGGCCACAAAGAGCAGCAAAAACGCCGTGTTTGCAAACATCAGATTCATTCGATGGATATTTTTATGAGTGACTCAAAATGTTGACAAATATGTACACGATACAAGTATGTGCCTGTTCAAAAAAAAGTTCTTAAATTCATTTCTCGGTTTGACAAAAATAAAATGTTAACATCCAAAATCATTGATAAAAGTAGATGGATATTTTTTGAGCATAGCATGTGCCCAGAAAAAAATAAAAGTTGATTTTATAGACACAAAAATGTTATTTTGTTTTTGTTCTTACCAAATTCATTTAATCGTTTGACATAAAAATCAGAAGACTTGGTTTTCTTGCCGAAATGTCCCATTGTGGAATGATGACGAAGAAAACAAAACTTTCGGTTTTATTTTTTTGACTCGTACGATAAGTCGACGTGCACGTATACCGTGACTATGTGACGCATAAACTTCCTTCTCCTTAATCTGGCCGATGCGCTGATGATAAAATTCCGCACATGCATCGTGATTTCTCACACCGCTTAGCATTGATGTCACGCTGATGCATCGCTCATTTTTTGTCACCTTGCTGGCATCGTATTGTGATAAGACAACATGCGCATCGTCGCTGTTCGGTGAAAAAAAACACTTTTTTTTTTTTTTTAATGGGATGTACGAAACGCGGACAGCACACAATCAAGCCGCGGTCGCGCTGAGCCCAAAAACTCGTGACCGCCAGAGGGTCAGACCCATAAAGGCCACCACCTGTGCAGCGAGCGGAAGCAACTGGCCCGGCGCTACGGCGCACATCGTCAACATTTTGGTGCTGAAATATATATACAGCGTTGAAATCTCTGTCCTTTTGTGTGCGAGTTTCACGGTGAACTAACTTCGGAGTGACAAATCGCTTGAAGCGAGCACACTTGACATCTTATTTGGAGAACGGCGGGGTGTTCAGGATGAAAGAAATCAAGCTCTTTGATGATTTCGAGATTTTACGGATTGTCAGCATATTTTTTTTTCCACTGGTAGCCCCTTCTTGTCTTTTTTATTGGGATTTTTTTAGGGGGTGGGGGGGTGGTGGCAGGGTGTTTGTGGGTAGGTAGTAAATGCAAGTGCAGCACTTTCCAGGTTCATGCGGGAGATAATTATCAGTCCGCTTTGTTGTTCCAGAGGGAGTGGTGCTTTCGCTGTCATTTTGGGGGCTGCAAAGCCTGAAAGGGGGGTGGGGGGGGGGGTCTGTTTGGAGTGTCAATATTTACAGTGTGCGCGAGTGTGTGCGTGTAATGATGAGCATGAATGCAAGACAAACGTCACACGTGATGAGCACAACTTGAATGCTGGAAAAATAACGTGTTAGCTTCAGCTATCGACGTTGGATTGTCTTTGGCCCAGCCGGGAAGTACTCTTCCCTACGCAAGTAGACTTACTCCGGCCGCACGATTATATCGGATGCGTCCAGAGAAATTATTTTATCATTATCTGAGTCTATAATGGATACATTTTTTGACCAACAGCATGACAAGCTAAAATGGGTATCATGTGGAAATGAGCCACCTCTTCTATCCGGGGTCAAACTGACCCACTGGCTTGAAATGGTAATCAAAAATCCATTTTAAAAAGGAGGTCAATCTGACTCATAGACTTGACAAAATACGTTTTTTATTCTACACGCCAACTAAACTACCCAATTGAAGTTTGGACCATTTCAGTTGGTGAAAAGAAAAACGACTTTCGACTTTTCTTGGGATCAATTTGAGGCACAAGAAGAAGAGTGCGAGGTCATGAGTGACCAACCTAAAGCTCGCGTTGAACCCCTTTTTTTGTTTTCAGATTTTAATTGACTTCATTTTGCGGAGCACGACACATGCAGCTTTTTCGTGCTACTCTGCTGCCGCCTAACGGCCACTCGCTGCAAGACAATCATTTATTTAAAAAAAAAAAGGCGGGGGGACCGTACAAATCATGATATGGAGGCAAATATTTTTTTATCGTTCACAGTGTCCACGGGGTCCTAAACTATAATAAAAAAAAATATTTATGGAGACCAGTAAATTTGAGGCCCCCTCCTTAATAAAGTCCTTGCCTGGCAAACCTCTGCTGTCGATAAAAAATAATCACTTACAAACATTTTAAGACCGTTTTTATGGCACAGCGACAACCAAAAATATTTCATACAACATAGTGTAACGATGCTTTTCAACTCGTAGAAAATAGTATAAAAATAAATGACATATTTAGAACTAAAAAAGGGTTATTTTTCAACTGGATTTTTTTATAGGCCCCAGAAAAAAAACAATCTATCCAGTCTACTTTTGCTCTAATTTTCTTAAAACCTTTTCAAACTATTTTGGGAGTGTGGAAAATTGCGAATAAAATCTTCAAATAAAAGTGAGGCTTCAGTCTAAATAATCCTACGAAGGCCTCGCCTGGCGTCTCTGCATTTGAGCAGCTGAAGGCAACCGGGGAAGGCAACGCATTGGCAACGCAACGGTAACGCAGGCAGTGGCAAAATGTTTCCCAAAAAGCCCTTCGAGGCTTCGTCGAATGCCAGCGACTGAGGAAAAAAAAAACGCTTCGACGTCTTTTCTGGGCTCGCCCTTCTATGCTGAACACCAACCCGTTTTGGAAGAAGTCCTGCAGCGTGCTGCCAAGTTGCAACAGAAATGGACGGCAGTGTACCGCTAGAGCCCTCACGCTCGACTCCTTTCAACTACCACATTGACCGAATTCAGTTTCTTGTAATGGTGCATTCATGAAGTCGTCGTCAACGTTCCAACAACTAAAAGGAGGTTGACTTTTTGGAACGGAATTGGCGTTGCCGGTGACATTTGGTAACAAATCCCGCTTCGTTCGGAGGACAGCGCTTCAAACATCGCAAAACAATGAAATGCCAGCTCACGGCACATTAGGGGATCCCCTCCTCGGGATCGGGGGGTCGCGGTTGGGCGTCGTGCAGCAGGCTTTTCCAGCGAGCCTTGTTGCGGCGCAGGTGGGCCGTCATGGCGCGGCTCAGGGCGCTCGGTCCGGTGAAGCGGCGCCACTCGGCGAAGAGGGGCTCCACGATATACGAGATAAAGCCTGACAAAACAGCAAGGCGTCAGTGCCGGCCGATTGCCATCGCGTCATCATCATCATCCCCCCCACCAACAACTTTTTACGATGAGACGGGCAGCCCATCGGTCCGTCTTCTTTACAGACGGTTAATAGAGCGCAATAGCGAGCCGACCTTCAGTGAAATTTAGAGAGGGCAGCCCATTTGCGTTGGTGGTGAAACCTTGCTAGAAACAAAATGGCAGGGGAAGCCGACGAGAACATCTGGACTTTATTAGGGGCACGCGAACCGGCGGCAAAAATGGGCTCTTTTTGCCCTGCGTCCTCACCGGTTTGGATGGCCGGGATGGAGTCGGCTCTCTGGTCGCACAGCGGGCTGATCTCCAAGTTGAACTTCCTCTCGAGGTCCCCTAAAAGGTCAACAAAAACCTGAGCACCATTCGCTGTCCTAGGCGAACCTCAACGAGAACAGAAACATTTCCCAGTAGCAATTTTAATACGGAAATTCCAAAAAATTGAATTTGAAGGAAAAAAAAAACTGGTGAACAGATTTCCCTCCGCCGGCCCCAACGTATTTTGTTCCTTTCACGAACAAGTGTGTCAAGGGGACCGGCGAGCGCAAAGCGGCTAAGCGCACCCACCTTGTCTGAAGAACTCCTCGCACACTCTGTCGCTCCACTGCTTGCTGAGCGGCCAAACGCGACACGAATTGCACACGTCAGCGCACTTGAGGCCGATCTGCGGACGAGGTTGAGGGCGTCGGACGGTTGTCAGACTGCGGCGGCCGGCGAGTTGGCTTACCTGCAAAATAAAGTGCCTGTGCGGGGCCAAGTGCAGATCCAAGTCCTGCTGATCCAAATGCGCCCGCAAGCCGAGCAGGAACTCGCCTTGTCTGCTCATGTCGGTGGCCAGGATGAGCGAGCCCAGCTGCTGCTCGATGCCCTGCCTGCGTGCGTGCGCAAAACAAGAGGCGTAAACGCAAAAAAGGCCAATATTGACGGACAGGCGTGAGAAGATTTCAAGTTACTCTGTAAAATCATGTTTGGGGAACAGCGCCAGCATGCAGCCAACGAGGGTTTGTTTGTTTTTTTTTAAACGGCCCCTTATAAACATTTGAAATTTCACACAGACATCTGGGCAAAAGTGTGTTCTTGTTTCAGTGTGTGCGTTTTCTTACGACACGTCCTCCGGGAGGTGTGACAAGAGGCGCGACTCTCGCAGCATGCCCACCGTGGACCTCCAGTGGTGACTCTCCAGCACCGACATGTTCTGCACAGGACCAGCCTAAGTCTGTTTTTTTTTCTCTTTTTTCATCGTATGTGAGCTGCAAAATTCTGGCACTTTTCAAAGTTGCAAACTTTCCACGTGGAAAAAAAAAAGGAAACGAAAAACAACGGGGAAATGTGAATGAAGCAGCTGCTTGAAAGCATTTTTGGTGGCGCACGCAAAACATTGTGTTCCGTGACAACGGAAGCACCAAACCCATCAAAAAAAACGAGCGTTTCTTCCAAGTTGTGACCAAAAAGAAAAAAAAAAAATTTGACGGCGTGCGCACACACTTGCCAACCTTTGCCGCTCAGTAATTAGCAGTAGAAGATAAAGAAGATCGGTTGCACCGACACCACCCGTTTCAAAAGCAAAAGGCTGAGAAAATGAGTTTTGGGACAAGAGCCAGTCCGCGGCTTTTGTGACACCTCCGAGTCGGAGCCAACGACCGCAAAAATGTCTGCTTTTGACAAATTGTTTCTATTCACATTGGAAAGGGACAATGGCGTGGGTGGGTGCGTGCGCTACCTGATAGAGGGAGGCCAGGTGGTGCTGCGTCTTGATGAGGAAAGGCTGGTTGATGCCCGGGTGGTCCACGTCGTGGGCAGCGGCCGCCATCAGGCCCAGGAACACGTCCAGTGGACTCATCTGCTCTGATAGCTACCATACAAAAGGCGCGCCATCAAGTCTGCTGTTGAGCCAGTCAAAATAGATCACATTTTTAAAAATAGACACACACACACACATATATATATATGTATATATATATATATTTTTTTTTTTTTTTTTTGGGGTGACAGTATGGAACTTGACATACCAATCCTCCATGAAGCATCCCCAGTTGGTCGCCTGTTGAGCGGTACTCGAATAAAGAGGGAGCACAGAACTCCCCATTTGAAATGGGACCGGTAAATCGGTGCCGCCGTCCAATGCGGCTTCTTTCACCTGAGGCGGCTAGCTCAATGAGTCAAGGCTCTCGTTTCTCAAGAGCATTTGGAAACGGTCATTCATTGTTTTGCGGCCAACCTTGGTCTCCTGCAGGTAGCAGTACATGGCCTGGATGACGTCGGCCGCGTGCACGGCATTGTGGTAGGGGTTCTGAGAGTGGTAGTCACTCTGAACCATGCCTGCAAGACAAACGCGGTCGTGACGCCAACGCAGTACAACAGTCAAGGGGGATGAAGCTGCGAGGAAAGCCGTGTCCTCGCCGTGCGAAAAACTTTTTTGCGGCCGTGCCATTTTTCAATTTTGTGGGAGACGTACTGAGGAAGCGGTGCAGTTTGACCACGTCCAGCTGCAGGTGTTGAACGAGGCCGTAGACGTTGAAGAGGTGGCACATCAGCGTCACCAGGCCGTTACCTACAACACACAGGCACAGAAAAAGAGGACGACACGTTAACTGTGGCCGACCGGCGGCCTGCTCCGAGTAGACGGCGGCTCACCATTTGTAAGGCGGTCGAAGAGGAAAACGTCAAAGTCCCACGAGCTCACTTTCGAGAGCATGTGCTGCCATCATCACGGACAGAAAAGATTTTTTTTTTTATTGAAAAAGATTCAAGGTGTTTGGATAGCGGTACCTTGACTTACATGTTCATCGAGTCACTGAGCTCTTCCCCAATTCCCAACGAGTTCACCGAACTTTGCGAGGTCACCAACCCCCCGCAATTTGTTGACAAACTCCCAGTTTTGGTTGTGCTCATCAATGACGGGATCGTCATTGAGTCGAATCGGGCCGAGGCAGTGAAAATAAAAAGTGCTCTGCTGCCACCTTGTGTCAACGACAGGTACTTCCAAACCTTTTCGAGCGGGCGGCAATGACTCGCAGAGTTGGAGAATGTCAAAACTGTAAGGTGGCTTTCCAAAGTCCATCGGATTGTCCGTTCGGAAAGGTCGCTTTGCAGCAATCTCGTTTGAACGCGGCAGAGCGCTCTCGTCGGGCGGGGTTGGGTGGTCGCTGGCCGGGCTACTTTGCGGGTGAGTCTGCCCGTCGGTTGGAGCCGACGGGCAGACTCCTTGCGAGTGGTCTCATTTGCTATTGGTGTGTTTGATGGCTCAAAGTGCGTCGCCGATTGTGGCTCTCCTGCAAGGGCATTGCAGTCGATTGTTTACAAAAAAAGTTAGGTTTTTTTTTTTTTTTTTTTAAATCACTTCACTCGAGCACTTGTAGGTCAAGGTAGCGGCGTGCAGGTTGTGTCGTCTCACGGCAGCTTGGCCCAGGTAGTCGGAGTCCACCAGATGCAGGGACTCGGGACCGCGCGGCGGCGCCCCCCTCAGGAGGCGCGAAGCGTGGCAGAACCTCTGAAAGCTCAGCAAAGTCTTCAACTTCCTCCTCCTGACCGGCTCCAGCTCCCTCTGCTGCTCACTGGCTGAAAAGTGCCATGACTGCAGCTGGAGATGTTTTCTCTTTTAACATTTAACTGATTTCACCAATAAAAGACTGTTGCAATTTCACCTACGGCAACAACAATGCAAACACTTTCAGGCCATAATGTGTAATGTGTCTCACCCACTCAAATTCCGACTTTCGTTCTTCAAAAGGCAACCATTTTTCTCCTTACAGCATCCATTCGGTTAAAGTTATGACTTCAGTCAAATTCACGACCTTTTTCTCGGGATATTGGAACAGGCCCTCGTTCAAAATCCGACGCCATTCTTGTGACGGAACAACCTGAACTTACCCTTCCGGATGTGCTTGTCAACCAAAGGGTAGGAGCCTCCTCTCAGCCGGCAGCACGCTCCCAAGGCATGCGTGTGGCGTGCCATCTCCTAGCGGGGGGAATAAAAGTCTAAAACAGTGTACACGAGTGTACTGTATTCAGCGGTAAATGAAAAGTCGACACACCCCCGTTCAAAATGGTTCATCTTCAATTGATTCGTTTCAAACAGCCACGACAGACATAAGTGGGTGTGCACACTTTTGCAAGTAATTTTTTTTCCTGTTCTCTATTGAAGTGTTTTGGGTTTGTTTGTTTATTTTTTTTCTATTAAATGATTCGTCAAGGAGGTCACAACGGGGGTGGGAAGTATCACAAGAACCTGGCGTTTGAACAGGGGTGTGTAGACTTTTTATATTCACCGCACATGGAGACAAAACAACCATTCCGATTCACGTTGAAAGCTACGGACAAGTTCGACTCTTAAATGAGCTCGTTTGGAACGGCGTATGGAAACGAGAGCAACAACTCCCCCCAAAACTTTTTGGTACCGCTGCCACAAGCGCATTTAACTTTGAAGAGCATGAAAAAGGCTCCCAACATGAAGATTTTTTTTTTTTTTTGCCTTCTCCCCAGGCAAAGGCTGCTGTCCCCGCTTGAGCCAACTGACTCTTTCGCCTGCACCCAAATCAATGAACGGGCCCGACCGCCACCTTTTGCTTTCCACACACGAGACATGATTGACAGCACATAGGTACTTGACGCGTCCCCGCCAGCGACTCCATTATTCGCACCCCGCCAATCTCGATCTTCGCCCTTGGGACTATTTTCCCCAAGCATTGGGTTAGGCAAGGTTCACTCAAGGGCAAAGAACTGGAAAGTTAGCATCCGCCAACCCGCACATTCCCCGGCTAAGAGGTCACATACCAGCTGCGTCTCCCAGGCGCTTCACTTGCGTTGCGATCATGGCGCTGGTCCTGGACTCCCTTGGTCCATCTAAAGAAACATCCGGAGCTCCGGCGAGACTATTTAAAGGTTGATAAAACGCGACACTTGAAAGGATAAAAGCGCCATCCTTTCAAGTGTCGCGTTTTACTGGAAAACCTTGTGACACCATTCGCATTGATTTCATCACAAACAAAAACAAAAAAACAAGGCCTTGTGACATCAGCCGGCATTCATCCCTGCGGCTGGTTTAAAGCAGCACTAGAAAGACTTTTTTTGGACGGAAGGCCAGCCTGGAGTCGTCACTCATCTCTGAAGAATACCATGGGAGGGATTTGGTCTTTGCGTCCCTCCCCTGGATCTTTTGCACACGCTCTTTGTTGACTCGCTGATCCCATCCTGGGTCGCTCGGTCACGGACGGGTACATGTTGTTCGGAACGGCAAGTGGGCAACTTGTTTTCCAAAGTGCACAGCGGTGCCTCCAGATGAGAGTTGCATTCACCGCTTGACTCGGAATCGTCGGATCTCAAATCAACTTTCCCCAATGAAATGAAGACAAACGTCAGTCATGCATTCCAGCGTCAGCAAGAAAAAGCCAAAATGTCAGTGGCGCCACGGCTGACGTTGCAGACAGCCGAGAGGACAAACAGTGAAGGCAAATAACTTTTGGGGTTTAAACCTAAAACAAAAATGGTGCACGTTATTTATATTTCAAACAGCATTATTGACATTTGAAGACGGACCCTATCCTGCATGATGCTCGTATCTCAGCACGCCACTGTACTCAACCAACAGGACATCTGAAGACTAACTGACTGAGCACTTTTTTTTTAAAAACTCTTTTAATAAAGTAAAACAAATCCAAGACAACAGCTGCATAGAACATCACATAAATATGTGCTTTGGGGCCCAAGAGTGAACAAGAGTGAAAATACTTTCTCTAGGCCGGTAAATAAACACAAAATCTGGTCGAGCACAAAAAGATTCAAAGCATCGACTTGAACTGAAACCGTAGCAATCTTTGGAGACTTCGTCATTCGTACCAACCTTCAAAGGAAATCTTTGATGCGTTTCATCTCTTGTGCACCCACATTCACTGTCCCGTACAACAAACTGTCCCGTACAACAAATTGCACAAGTCTTGACATACAACGTAAGATGAAGTTCCCCGTGAAGCGACCGCTCTTATGAGCGGCATCCAAAGTGAAAGAGACGAGGAAAAAAAAAAAAAAAAAGATCCAATAAAAACGGTAACCTGAACCAGTGGGAGCCCGCCAGGCAGGATTTTCAAGGCTCCGGCGGACACGGGCACAAATGCAGAAGCGCCCGGCTGCGTCCGGCGTGGTGGAACATCTGCAACGTCAAATCCATTATGTGCACGCATCATTAAACGTTTCATTTCATGCAGTCAGCACTGGAGACGAAGGAGTATTGTTGCAAGACAAACCTTGGGTGCGTCCGGACTTCCGAACGGTGAGCTTTCCAGGGAATTCTCTTTGTCCGAGGAATTGTTGTGGCGATGCTGCGCGAACTTCCTCTTGAGAGCCTCGGCGATCAGAGCCGCCGGGTCCTTTGCGACGGCCCCGCCTCCTATCCTACGCCTCCTCTGGACCGGCGTGCCACCCGGCGATCTACAACGGGGAGGGAAATGTCTGACAGTGAATAATTCTTAAATGAGACTTGAAACACACCCATACACAGTCAATCAAGATTTTATGTCCGGTTGGAACAAATGACTTTTCCAAAATTCTTTTCACTTAGTGTATGCGGGTGGGGGGTGTCTGACCTCTCGACAGAACGCAACTTGACTTGATTTAAGTCTTTGAGCACATCCAACATGGAGGGCAAACTTTGAACATCTCGGAGCCGTTTCTTGTCCGCGTCCTTCCCATGACACTTGCGCCGTCGGATCAGCTCGGTGGCGGATGATGGGCTGGAACAGGATGACAGAGGAGGTGGCGGCAGCGGGGGAAGAGGAGGTGGTGGCGGGGGCGCACAGCGAGGCGTGGACGTGAGCGCTGCCGCCGGCATGGGTGACGCCAGTGGTGTTCCGGCAGCATTGTGAGGGATATCTAAACGGCGGGTAAAAACAATCTTTCAGATTCAGTGTAGCTCATCTTGCCCCGATGTGGTGGGTGACGGAGGTCCCACACGTGCAGTCGATTTGGCGTACCCGTGGCTGCAGCGGTGGTAACAATGGCGGCGATCTGAGCCCGCAGCCTGACCAGCTCTCTCTCCAGCGCCGAGATCTTCTGCAGGGCTTCAGGCTGCGTCTTTTGCACTTCCGCCGGTCGTGGTTGCGGCACCGGGGGCCTCCTGGTTTCTACGCTGCCGGGCGTCTTCGGGGGTAGATGGTGCCTAACAACATGCAAGAGGTCAAAGGATAGCAAGTGTCCGCTGATTGTTTGCGGTCATACCTGGTCTTGGCAAAAGTATCCCCTTCATCCTCAAGTACCCACAGGACATCAGCGAACGATGGGATGGCGGGAATTTCCGTGGAGTATGCGTGCTGCCTGGAGGTGTGGAGCGGGATCTGATGTGGAGGGATATGCAAGGCAACACGTACAAAAGTCGGAGAAGATAACAGGTACAAGACTCTAGCCAAAGTGAATGGATGAGCTCCCAACCTGAAAGTACACCCGTGGTGCGGGGGTCAGAGGCAGGTTGGAGCCGATCATTCTTACGACGCTGCGATACTGGCCACACAGCCGACTGTCCCACACTGGGACCAGCTACATGAAACGCACGCCACGAGACCATTGAAAGGAAAAGAAAACCAAAAAACAGCCACCATCCATTTGAAAGCAAGAACAACTGAAGCTCACCATTTCTGGAGGCACTCCAAAATAGTCCAGCACCAAGCGCAGCACGTCCAGTGCATCCTCAAGCAAAGACATTGCCGTTCCCCTTTTCTGTTGACTGACACCGTGCAACAACGTCCCAAGTCACAGTCGTCACACCTGATGACACACACGCACACACAAAATACTGTCCACTCGTGCCTCGAGATACAAGCGACCCAAATCAAAACATTTATTACGGATGAATATTCAAATTCTATGCTTAAATTAAGCAGCTTAACAGCGGTTGTTTGATTTGAAATGACAATCTGGAAACTTTTGCACGTCACAGAAAGCCGCATTTCACAAACCACGCAAAGAACAGGATACATATACGAAAATATAAAACTCACCGTGCGTTCTTTCTCTCGAGACAACACCCCCCGTTAACCTTCGTTCAAGAGCTTCATTTTGATAAAATTTATACGCATTAAATGCAACTAAAAATCGAATCAAACCTTGGGTCACGCTCACTCGATTCACTACGGAAGTCTTCCCCAAGTCAAATTAAACGCTCGTCCCGTCAAGGTCTCTGATTGGTCGAAAGTGCGGCAGCCAATAGAAGGAGCTGATGTTGCGGCATGTTGACTCGGTTGACCAATCGCGTTTCACAACTGTGATCACCCCTGCTACCGTTTTTTTATGTTTGCGGACACGAGCCTCGTTTTGACCTATGTAAGAAAACAGGACAAAAGCCAACTTGAAGTCTTCTTTCAGTACACATTACCCCACTAGTATTCGCTTTAAGGTTTGGCGTAAGTATCACGAATATCTCAGACTCAAACCCGCTTTTGTAATTGTTGAAAGGAATTAGCTCGTTCTGTTAGCCGCACCGCTCGCGCTTCGCTTTTGGATTACGGTTCATCTACAAACGTGCCCATGAGAATGACGCATGATTGACATATCCCGAAAGGTGTCTCAAGGGGATGGACGCGTTGTCGGTGGTGAGCCAGCTGCGGGATCTGGCATCGGAGCCCCAGAACCGAGAGGCCATCGTGCAGGACCAAGGCTGCCTCCCCGGGCTGGTCCTCTTTCTGGACCACCAGAGCCCCGATGTGCTGCTTGCCACTCTCCAGGTGGGCGTCCTTGGGAAATTATGACTTCCCCAACAGCCGACGTTCGTCCAAAGTAATGCCACTCGCTCTTACTTGGGTCCTTGCAGACCCTCCGCTACTTGGCAGAGTTGTCGCCAAACATTCCTACCATGAAGAACGAGCTGGGGATGATGGTGAGCCTGGAGAACCTTGTGACGAGGTGATGACCTGTATTGATTTTTGGTTTGTGCTTATTTTGGTCATTGCCTCAGATTCTTTTCCCTTTTGATTCTTTTCTTAGCCATCCCGTGTCAAAACACTTGCAGTGATTAACAAATAAGTAATCAAGACATACGTGCTCTTTCTGAAATTCTATAAATGCCACATGACAACGAAGACCAATCGAGTTGAAAAGTAGTGCTCTGCTTGCATGTTGTGGCATCTCCCCTGGTGTTATAAACCGCATATTTTTCCCCAAAATTTGGAGATTAAAAAAATGCTTTTCATTTGGACAACAGTATACTTACAAAACTATGCATGCAACGTCCCCCAAATTTTGTGATTTTATTTATTTATTTATTTAAATCAGAACAGTTGGGGGGGGGATCCTTATTTTTATGTATATTCATATTGAAACAAGATGGAGGGCAAATTAGATACTTTTCATTGGGCAGTCATCGAGACGCATGTGTGCCTTGTGGTACTAGTTGGGAGTTTTTAACATGTGAAATAAAGATTCGTTCCTCACGTAGGGACGAGCTGTGTGCCGACATCACGAATTTGGCGAAGGAGGTCTATGGAATTCTCGTGGCGCCTCCTCTTCCTGTCCATCGCACACCTGAGAGGCAGAGGACAAAAAAGTCACAGTTCTTCCTTAACTCATCGAACAAGAAGGCCAAGTGTGTCACCTTGCACATCCAGGGCCTGGACAGCGTTGTGAGTCCACATTGCACAGGCTGACCTTCGACGGGGCCACCCCTTCACGTGCAGATTTTTTTAGGGGTACCGTTTCAACAATGCAAAATAAAGTTTCAATTGATGAGTCGAATAATCGATGGATTAACTGGTAGAAGAACCACTTCTATAAAGTATTCAAGAGCTAGCCACAAGTCCGATGCAAACAAACATCTCGTGTTACTCACAAGGCCACGCCCCTTAGTCACACATCCAACACAGGAATACATAAAGTAAATGCACTGGATCAGCCGTTTAAAAAAATATATATACATACTACAAAACTGCTAATTTTCTTCATAAAAAACGTGTGTTGCGTTTGTGATGTAGGACCAGCGAGGCTTGTGCGAGGAGGCTCTGCTCAAGGTGCGAGGAGTGATCAGCTTCACTTTCCAAATGGCTTCTAAAAGATGCACCGTGCGCATTCGCTCCGATTTGCCCACCGAGGTGACGCTTCAGGACTTTGCCTTTGACGGGTTCGCTCGGGGTGCTTTCAGTGGAAGTCTTACTCATGTCTTTTCTTTGTACGTCGCCAGAGTCTGGCCTCAGCCATCGCCGCAACCAAAGTGCTGTCTGCCCAACAGGTGGTGAAGAACGAGGCAGGAGATGAGGTCACTCACACTTTTTTTTCACTGCCAATCATGCAAAAACGCTCAGTTCTTGTACCGTGGGTTACTCGGTACAAGTTTCTGAATTGACTCAGCGGGGTCTTTAAAAAAAAAAAGGTTTGGCTCACCCAAGCTCCAATGGGTTCTCGCTCCTCCTCCTTCAGGTCTTCATCCCGCTGAGCGCCTCGGGAGCGGTGGCGCCCCGCGATTCGGCCCTCCCGGACTACATCCCCGAGGATGAGGAGAAGCCGGAGGAGGCGACGGACCGCGCTGTATCGCGCACCGCCGCCAAGGATGACGCCAATGGCAGCTGGCTCAACGCCGCCGCCGGTTTCCTCACCCGGACCTTCTACTGGTGACAGAGGGCGACTCGACCTCGCTGATTCCTGTAAACAGCTCCAAACGTGTGCGCACGTTATTTGACATTTTCATTTTTCCAGGGGCGTGAAAACCGTGCACTTGGTTCATGTAAATATTTTGTTTTCGTGATATTTGACATTTTTTAAACATTCAAGATTCTCCCTCAAGTCAGTTGTGTATTTTATTACTTCATTTTTTCAAATGGACCATTAATGCCTCACCTCCAAAGAAGAAATGAAAAAAAAAGGGGGATTTCGCAAACAAACAACCACACCCCAAATAATTGTTAGATTCATGGTCAACTTTGGGGTGGGGGCGCCCCCCTCAAATGAATGTTTCCTCCTCACCTCGAGAGAAAGAAGTGGTGAGTTGGTAACACTGCTGGATTTTGCTAATAGGTGATTTGAAATTTGAAATATGTGTTATTGACACCATGTACATACGGTAACCCATTTGAATAAATGAATGAATGTCTCAAAGTCCACAGGTAAAATTGTGTTATTCATATTGTCTTCATTTTTAATTGTGTGCTCCTCGACACATTGTGAATGTTTTGTGAATGTGCCCCAGTCAGTAGCCAAGTGCATTGTCCACTTGCCTTGCTTCAAATACGATGGAGAGGATTTTGAAGCCCCCCCACCGCCCCCCTCATGAATACCTGGTGCTCTCTGGCCACTATGAGGACTCGGATGTACACATCTTTTAGTCTTATGTTCTCATGGACACCTGGAGCCCAATTAATTGGTGGGCGCATCATCCACTTGAGTCATAGATGCCGGGTTTACTACAGTTGAGTAAACTGCTACTGTGTGAAGAAATGAGGTTACAAAAAAGTTCTAAAACAAGCAGCAAACAGATAAGGTAACATGTCAAGGAAATTTATTTTCAAATAACAATACAGCTCTTTTCTTTACTCAGGTCATTCGTAGGAAAATATAGTGACTGTTCTGTATAGAGTACCGGTACTTTGTATGCAGCGATGGCTGTTTGAAAGTGCTCTATAAATACAGTTGAGTTGAGTGGCTATTCTGCAATAATTTAGTCTGCACGGGTTTCTGTTAAAGCCATTTGTGAGCTCCAATCATCATCATCATCATCATCAGCGTCCTCGTTAGCAGTCCTGCATGAGATGCAACTCTGAGTGCAAAGGTTATTTTCCGACTATCTTCTTTCTTTTATACATGGTAAGGCGTCCGAAAACAATGATCAGCACGTATTACAAAATATTCCCTCCGGATCAAAGGAATGAGATTTACTGCAAAATTAACATCCCGCGAGCTAGGCGGAAGTTGAACAAAAAGTTGGGCTACAGCAGATGTACAGCAATTAAACTTCAAAATAATCAGTAGTTGTAGTAACCCAGCGCCTCACCCCCAATAATCTCTACTTTATTAAATATGAGAGCATCTTAAATATGGTACGTGACACAAACCTCTTCCGACGCCTTTAGCTCCAACCAAATAAGTTGTGCTTTTACCCTGCGTTGCCAACGCTACCTGTCAAACAAGCGGGGGAATACAAAAAAAAAAAACACACCTCAAGTTTCACAATTAAAGATTTTACAACTCATCTCAGTTTGCCGTTGTTGTTGGAGTAAATCTCATATATTTCCCGTTTGGTGGTTGATTCTGAGAGGGGTGCCCCCCCCCCCCCCCAAAAAAAAAAATACCCTGCGTTGCCAACGCTACCTGTCAAACAAGCGGGGGAATACAAAAAAAAAAAACACACCTCAAGTTTCACAATTAAAGATTTTACAACTCATCTCAGTTTGCCGTTGTTGTTGGAGTAAATCTCATATATTTCCCGTTTGGTGGTGTGTTGGAGGGGGGCCCCCCCCCCCCCCCCCCAAAAAAAAAAACTGCCTCAATAAGAGCACCCCATCCTGACATTTTGAAGGGTGCTCTCTTTGGAGTTACCGTCACAGGGAAACATTGATGTTCTTGTCTCTTTGCAGGCAGTTCAAGAGGACAGCTATGATGCTTTTAGAGTCTTTGTTGTGTTTCGCGTAATCTTCTGCATCCAAGCGCCTTCTTTCCTGGTTCTCTGTGGGCGTATCATCCTGTCCCAATCAGGCAACGTCTAAACAAAGGAAAGGAAGAAAATGAGACCAAAGTCACGATTGTGGCCAAAAGAAACGCTCGGAAATCTCTTTCAGGCCACTTTGGAGGAAATTGAAGACCTCAACCTTCCATCCATTTTCTAGATCACATTATTTTCTTTCATAGTGATTGCAGTTACGGTTTTCCACAGCCAAAACAGCATTGCACAAACATTGAATTACCTGCTCCCTGTTGGGCTGTTCTGTCGTCCACTCCAGCACTGAGGGGCTTTGGGAAGCCGTTCTCCTTGAAGACCATGACATCAACTCTCTCGTCTTCCTCGCCCTCCTGCCGCTGCTCGTCTTCCTTCAACCTGGAATGCGAAGGTGGCTCAAGCGCCTCCTCAAACGCTCCGTTCTCCCTGGAAAACAAAGAAGGAAATAAGCAGAAATGCATGTATTGGTGGAAATCCATATAGGGTTGAGTAACAAGACGACCGTTACCACCCGTTTTCCCCCCAACGGAATGAGTTTGAGGTCAGGTGCTTATTTGTGTCAAGTGAGACCGAGCATCTTTATTTGAAGAAATACGGTCTAGCTAAGGAGGTTACGTTGACGGTCTGGAGTGGAAGGATGCATCTCAGTCTACCTCTGAATCAGAGGGCTGTGCGTCGAAGTGTCTGCGTTCAAGTTGCTGTCCGCCTGGCAACCGTTGCTATGCGGGGCGGGACTCCCATCGGATGGGCCTGGAGAGGCGGCGTCCACTGGCGGATACCAAACAAGCAAATGCTGGTGCTTGTGGTCTTGCAATTCGGGTGGATTTCAGTGCGAATGCATAAACGAGACTGAGTTGAAGTTACCTGGGCCGTCCGTGTTCTTGCTGGGGGATTCTTTCTAGGAATGGAAAACAACATGTCAGCAGACATGCAGGTGCATCTCAGAGGAGGAGAAGTAGTTAGAAAACAAACATCTAAGTCTGTATTTCAATTCATCAAGCGAGTTTGAGCGACATGTTTGGGACTTTTGGCAGAGGTCTGCTGTGGCCCGTTTTGTCGTTGGCTTGCCTTGTCTGCGGTGTCGGACCGCCTGGTCCTCTTCATGATCTCCTCCAGCCGCTTGCGAAAACAACAAGAAGCCATCTTTGAGGTTCACATGCCGTTTGAAAGATGTTTGAAGGAGCGCGCTTCACCTTCTTCCGTTCCAGCCGCTCGGCCTCCTCTTTCTGGAAGTGCTTCTCCCTCTCCTGCTTCAGTCTCTCCGTCTCCTCTTTCTGCCGAGATTCTTCCTCCTCCCGCTGATGATGGAGAAGACGGCTTTAGCTCCCGAGCGCTTTTTTCATTGTCACGGCTCCCATGTCTCTGACCTGTTTCTGGGCTCTCTCCGCCTCCTCTCTCTCTTGCTGGAGTCGCTCCTCCGCCATCCTAGTCTCCTCTTCTTCCTTCAGCCTTCTCTCCTCCGCTTGCCGCTGGGCCTCCTCCTCTCGCTTCGCTCGCTCCTCGGCCTTGCGACGGGCCATCTCCTCCTTGGCTAACCTGAAGAGAGATAGGTCCAGTGGAAAGAAAAAGTATGTCAACCCTTGGGAAAGAGAAGAAACAGAGTCTGCTTAAACAGAGGTCACGCCAACAATGCTGTTCCCATATTTCTATAGAGCATAACAGGAAAAAGTCAGTGGCCTCGCCTCCTTTGGCATCTACTACCAACAACTATCGGGATCAGTTTTGGACCTTTGCACTTAACAAAGCTGTTGCTGTTCAGCAAGAGTCCGACAAGATCTCAACAGGAAACGTTTCGTTAAGGTTCAAACGGTTACCGTTCGACTTTGAAGGTTGCTAATGTGAGACATGGTTACCTGGCCTGCTCCTCCTGCTGCCTTTGCTCCTCTTCCTCCCGTTCTCTCTGCTCGCGGACCAGCCGCCGGTTCTCAGCTAGGATGCGGCTGGCCTCCTCTCGATCCGTGGTCCCGGCAGAAGGCTTCGGGGCTGCGTCTAAAGTAAACCCCGGCTTCAAAAATCACCTTGTGTCAGTCAAATCAACCTTTCCTTGTCACCAAGGACTCACCACTGGGTGCTGTTCTTGTCGTTTGCGCCGTCTTGCTTTGTTCCACTGGCGGCGGAGGACTGAGGACCCGCTCGTCCTCCGCTTCTTGGGTCTTGCCGGGCGCCGACGGCTGCGGAGTCTCGGGCGAGACTTTGATAGGGCGCAGGTTTCCGGGGTCCTCTGCCGCAGGAGACTTAAGCATCTTGGGGGTCGGAGGGCGTCCTGTGACCCTCTGAGGGGGCCTGTTTGCAGGAAACAACCATTTTTTTTGTGAAAGTGGTGAAGAGTTGGGGTGAGCAAGGCTTAGTCCATTGACCGACAACCTGAATTATAATACTGTATTCGTTCCTTGAAACTGCTGACAATTTTCTCCCTTTAAACCGCATTGACCCCCCCCCCCAAAAATCATGTTTGTACAACCTTCCAGGAGACAGCACCGCAACTTTTGCGTTCCTTTTGACCGGCGATGAGGATCGCAATTTAAGGGGCAAGGTAAGCGAGGGACCCAGAGGCAGCGACAAGTTGCTCCAGGACTTCCTGACAGAATCGCGGTTCTTCTGCGGCGTCTGCATAAGAATATCAAAAGCAATTGCTCATGCTTAATCAGAAACATTGTCAACAGTGGCGGTGTGAGAGACCCCTCGCAGAGGACTACTGATCAGCAAAATCCTTGAAGACCCCTGATAATGTCTCCATAAGGGTGAAAAGTTTCCCCAAACAAACGTCAAACAACACTAGTCAAGACATTTTTACCAAAAGGTTTTAATCGGAAATACAAGTAAACTTTGCATGATGATCTTTTTTTTTTTTTTTTCCCCAACGTTCAACATTCGGACATTGTATCTCGAGGAACTGGTGAGTCATGTCAATGGTATCTCAAGATCACGGACAAGTGTGGGTGTTGCCGAATTTCACACCATCGGTTCTTTTGTGTAGAAGTGAGAGAGTCCAGAGAAGAATGACAAATACGGCGACGGTGTCCCACCCACCGTTGGCGTCCCAGTGGTCCTCCTGCGAGCGGACGAGGCCGTCTCCTTGGAGAGGCTGCGGTCGTGGCTGCGGCTGTGAGAGAGCGGGCGGGCCTGCAGGGTCTTGAATGACATGGAGCCCATGGGGTGGCACGACACTGAGCGAGGACACACAGGCATGGCTACGGTGATGGACCGGGTGGCGGAGCGGGTGGGTTACACGGTGGTATGAACAAACGGGAGCAGGGAGAAATGAATGGAAATATTTGAAGGAAGCGGCAAAAGGAGCGGGAATGAGTAAAGGAGAAAGAAAAGTTTGAAGGAAATGAAAAGCGTGAGTGCCACAGTCAGTTATGCTTGGAGTTCAAGATGCAGTCAAGGTAAACAAAGAAACACTGTGATCCGAATACTGACATGAAATGGACAAGGAGAACCCAAAAGAAAAAATATTTCTCATCACAGCTCATGTTGTAACGGTTATTAATAGGAAAACATGAAATCAAGAATATCTCAACTTTGATAAACTAAACACATGCATAGTTCAACTCAACTAAAAGTTACGGTGAGGGTTTTTGTTTTTTTGTTTTGTTTAATCATCTGAACGGTAAGGCCTGATAGTGAACTTTTCACTTGAAATTCATGCTTTTACTGGGAAAGGAGGAAATCGAACAGTCGGGAACGACTTACGGGTTAAGTGTGCATGTGTGCGTGGGTGTGTGTGCGTGTGCGCTTTGTGTGCCTGATACAGGCTGGTGAAGGAAGTTTCAGACAGTGTTAATGCTTTAAGTCGCACCTAATCTGATTAACACAGAAAAGCGTGCGGGTCAAGAGAGCAAACATGTCAACAATGCCAGCGCTTGCTCCGATCGATGAGGATCGGAGCGCTCCCATTGGCCGGTGACGGGAGGGGCGTGGCTTTTGGGCTTACCTGCGTGCTCTCCAGAGAGACTCATGGCACTGCGACTTCGTGCCAGGTAGGAGTGCGTGGGCTGCTGCAGCCGGTTCACCATGTTGCTCTCCCACGGCGTCAGGGGAAGGCGGCGAGGACCTGCGTCCGCAGAAGCAGAGTTGTTTTAATCACAAGTGGCCGCCACAGACAAATTTAGTTTTGCATCCAGGCAATGCAGATCAAATATGGTCGAGGCCCTGATTGTCATGTGCCAGCTATACCTGCGCACGCCAGCAGAGGGCCCAGACGAAGTCAAGTGCAAACCCAAAAGCAAACAAAGGAAGCGCATTCAGAAAGGGAGGGCAGAAACACCAAACGGAATCCTAAACCAACAAAGAGTGCGGATCTGACTTCAAGGCAGGAAGGACCAATTGTGAGGCCATGCGCTTCTGAGGCTCATTCCGGAATCGTGCACGCAATTAACTCGACGAGCCGCATGCGTTGGACATCAGCTTGCGTTCGTAATGAAGGCTGCAGACTTAAGCGTGAAGGCAAAGATTAAACTGGGCTGGAAACTGCAGAAATTGGTGACAAATTTTACCGATGCAAAAATGCCGTCCGTCCGGATAAAACAAACGGTGTCGAGTGTTTCCACAAAAACAAAAAGATTATCCTACAGAGGATTAGAGAAAGGGGTCAGGCGGCGGTGGGTGGACGCTTTGATGCATACTGTACATACAGTGCATTTGAAACATGAGACCATCTGTACTTCTGTACACAATTCAATATGTACTCCAAAACTACATGTTGGGTAAACATATTCTGCAAAGCTTCCAATAACTGCTTAGCTCAAGATATCAAAACAAATTGGGAAAGGATGTCAATATAATGAACCAGTTCCATCGTCAAACTGTCACCTCCATAAGACTTAGAGTGTACAAACAATCAAGTGTACCATAAGTTCAATACTGTCACATTAAAAAAGGTGATACGACGAGAGTTTGGACATGGAGCAGAGACCTCCCAACTTTGGAGTCAGCCAGCGTCACAGAACAAATGAGGTTCCATTTTGGAGTTGTACCACCCTCGATTATGAATCTCCATTTCTTTCAATTGGCACGATTTCAACAGTTTCCAGCCCATGTTATTTTATGGATCTTTTTTTCCTTTATTTTCCCCAATGGCCATTAAACACCTGTGTTTCTGTGGTAGGAAGTGGTCCCCTGGTACAGATGGGTTTTGGACTGAGCTTTGTTTATGACAGGGGTGGAGGTTGTTCTTGCCCGTAACCCTGTATCGGTAGCATATGGACATTCAAAAAAGAAAAAAAAAAAAAAGAGGACAAAATGGCATCAAATCATTCTCAGGTGATTGCAAACAGAATATCTCAGGCCCACTATAGAAACAAAAGGGCTATATGTGGATGATCTTTTGAAGACAAAAAAAAAAAAAAAAAGTAGATTATCACCGGGGGGGTAAAAATACATCACTGAGTTAATAGTGTCACTGAAAATCCAATTTTTACCATTGGATTTACCTCGGTCCGGCGAGTGGAGGAGTGTGGCAGAGGACGAGGACAGGCGCTTGCTAATGACTGCGTCGTGCTGTTTGGATAAATTCACCGTGGACACCGACCTTCTGTCAGCATCTGGAAGCAGCCAAAATAGTCAGACTCTTCAAAGACAAAAAGAAGGTGAAAGAGATGCTTTTCCTTGGGAACTAGACTAAAATTCAAGCAAGGAATGTTTGGAAAAGGCAAAAAAAGTAGATTGAGCGCGACTGCCGCATCACCTAGCGGATAAGGGATTATCTCTGGATACCAAGTCACAAACACCAATTGTGCAATTAAAACTGGCCTACATGTACACTAATGCCTGGCTGCTAAAACGAGGTACACACACACCGACAATCATTTTCACTTCCTTGAGATGAGAGAAATCAGTACAGAATATATGAAAGCATAAATACATGTTAGTTAACCAATTTCAGGAAAAAATACTGGCCACATTAAAATCCTAACAAGTCTCACAAATCATTCTCCACAACTTAAAAAAAATAAAAAAGTTTGCAACCGTAATCTAGTTAGCCAGCAGTTAGCCTAGCTTCTTCCATTTTTTCACTGCATTTTCCAGCAGTGTGGATGCTGTGTGGCATCATGTTGCCTTCCGCAGGTCAGTCTTGGTATTAAAAAAGTCATCTGGTTTGTGGGAGGAGACTGGCGATGGATGACGATTTATTTATTTATGTTTGAGAATGTCACGTGCGCGGTCGCTCACATTTAAAAATCGATATGCGTGTACCCCACTTATGCACGCCAGTGATGAAAGTCCATGCACCCGCCCACTAGCTGATGTGACACTAGAATATTCACATTGGGATCTCATACGGTGTCCACGGTGGACATTGAAAGCACTCGGCATGTGCTCCAGTCCAGCAAGGTCGAGCGGATAGAGGCGAGCGGACTCGACAAAACCTGGACCAGGAGAGCGGAGGACAATGCATTGCAGAGAACAAGGACAGAGAGAGACAGCCGGGTGGGGAGACAGAAAGAAAGTGATTGAAAGAGAGTGGAAATGTCAAGTTCAAATATAAACATGGCAGAAAAATACTGGCACAAAGGGGATATTGTGCATTCAAACTAAAACGCCCTGAGCGCAGGAAAAGTGGAGGAAAATGTCCGAGCTCTGAGGAGACCTCAAAGTCAACATTGTGAGGCAACATCCTGATCGCTGAAATGATTTGTGAACGCGTGACGCCAGGTAGCATACCGGTCGGTGTGACGGGGCTGTTGGGATGCAGCGGGCCACCCCAGGACCAGCGGTTGTGCTTGGGTTTGCTCGGCTGACCCCGCTCCATAGTCCGCCGCATCACCGCCTCATGACGAACCTTCACAAGCGCAATGGAGATTTATTTTGCAACGTTTTAATGCAGTCTCACGCATTGAGCCATTTGCAATCCAACAAAACCATTTGCTTGACAATAACGGTAAAAATATGTCGAAATGGCGTAAACCAATGCAGTTAATATACAGTACACGATTAGCTCAGAGGTCACTATTTGAGGATCAACAAAACCATTTGCTTGACATAACGGTAAAAATATATGTCGGAATGGCGAAATCCAATGCAGTCAATATCCAGTACACGATTAGCTCAGAGGTCACTATTTGAGGAAATGTAGCAATTAGTGGCAAAGTTCATGCATCTTGGTGCTCATGACCACCTTGTCATCCTCCAGCTTCTGCCGTCGCTTCTCCTCCACAGCCAAGCGTTTCTGCTCCTCCTTCATCCGCTGCTCCTCCAGCTTCCTCCTCCTCTCCTCCAGGTGCTTCTCGTAGTGCTGCCTGGCGCGCTCCTCTCGTGCCTGCCACTGAGCCTCCTTGGCGGCTGGCATGTGGCGCAACAACAACAAAAGATAAAATCACGCAAGGGCACGAAAAGCAGACGTGCATGCCGCACAGGCTTTAAAGCGGCTGTGTCATGGGTCAGCTGCCGATCATGTGACTTGGCTTTAGCGCGCAGCAAATCCCTTCGGCCCCCTCGGCGAGCGCACCCGGCGTCCAATATTTTACGGCAACCAAACAAGTCACTTCAACACAGTCATGCCACACGCGTGTCACGGTATGTCCTGTGTCCGCGAGAAAAACCCAAGCATGAAACATGTTAAAGCATCGCAGCAGGCATGCGAGTGTCCAACACATGATGTCATGTGGCTGCCATGGCAATGGGGTGCCTGGCTGCATTTTCATATTACAACCTGAAAACTGTCAGTTCCCTCGGTAATTGTCTTGTGAGTTCTGACTCAGTCCTGATGATTCTGTCAGTCTCTTTCATTTTGTTTTCAACTCCATAAATATAATGTTCACTTGTACAAATATACCTCCGCTGGCCGCTGCAGTCGAATAATACGAAATAATAATAATGATAAATTAACACCAAAGAACAATACACACCATTCTGCTTTTCGCGTTCCTCTCGACGCTCTCGGGCCAACCTCAGCCTCTCATCGGTTTTGTTATTGTACAAATATACTTCCGCTGGCCGCTGCAGTCGAATAATACAAAATAATAATAATGATAAATTAACACCAAAGAACAATGTTCAATTTGAATGGACGACTCGCAGACAAAAAAACTTGAGTGCTTTAACTGGGTGGGCGGGGGTAAATATCATGTGAGGGATACTTTTCTGTTCCATAAAATGGTGGGCGGCCACTCTACACCGGACTGATTCGCTGCATGTTGGCAAAATGGTTCAATTTGAATGGATGACTCGCAGACAGGCTTTAACTGGCGGCGGGGGGGCGCAAATATCATGTGAGGGATACTTTTCTGTTCCATAAAAGTCCTGATGATTCTGTCACAATCTGTTTCATTTTGTTTTCAACTCCATAAATAATATTGTTCAATTGTACAAATATACTTCCGCTGGCCGCTGCAGTCGAATAATACAAAATAATAATAATGATAAATTAACACCAAAGAACAATACACACCATTCTGCTTTTCGCGTTCCTCTCGACGCTCTCGGGCCAACCTCAGCCTCTCATCGGTTTTGTTGAAGAGAAAAGAGTCTGGAACCCAAACAAGAATGCACTGATAAATATTCTTGTTCAATTTGAATGGACGACTCGCAGACAAAAAAACTTGAGTGCTTTAACTGGGTGGGCGGGGGTAAATATCATGTGAGGGATACTTTTCTGTTCCATAAAATGGTGGGCGGCCACTCTACACCGGACTGATTCGCTGCATGTTGGCAAAATTAGATTCCACGCTTTTCCAAAAGACCCGAACGAGGGTATGGGGTTTGTCTCATTTTAATCTCACCAACCTATTTGAGAGTCATGTCTGCGTATGTATTGGATGTAGCGTCTTACCTATTCTGGGTGCTACTCTGTTGTTATTGGGGCTGCTGCTGGTGGCCGTCGGGGTGGGAGAGTAGACCTGTCCGGAGAGCGACGAGCTAGGCCGGGCGGGGGGAGACACTCTGCCATCGTCCGCTTTATAGAAGGATGCTGCAACAAGAGACACAGACCAACAACAGTCAACAAACATCTGGGAAAGCAGGGCAAAGTGTGAAGGGGAATTCGTCATTCATTCAAATCTTTATCGGGGTTTCTTAAACAGAGCAACCCTGCCCCCCATTGAGTTTTCGCTCAGCTGGGAAGTTTAGACCACAGAATAAAAAAAATAAATAATTAAAAAAAAACAAGCAACATGGTCAAAATAAAGTCCTGCGTGTTTGTATCAAAGCGGGAGGGAGGCAGGCCGCCGGAGAAAAGTAATCTGTCAGGGTTTTTCCTAACCAGAGCAGCCCTGCCCCCCATTGAGTTTTCGCTCAGCTGGGAGGTTTAGACCACAGAATTAAAAAAAAAAAAAAAAAAACAAGCAATATGGTCAAAATAAAGTCCTGCGTGTTTGTATCAAAGCGGGAGGGAGGCAGGCCGCCGGAGAAAAGTAATCTGACCCACAAAGTTCAATTAAACTGACACACTTCCCCCTGTTGCATATCTTGTCCACGCAGGTTCTTTATCACTTCAGCGGCACCATCTCCCAATCGGGCCGCACCGCCACTTGGTCACACAACGGAAAGCGAATGTACAAGTTCACCCATTGGCAACTCTGCCCCAGTGCATTCTAACCTTTCCCCCCCTAAAGGACATGGTGAACAAAGATGCAAAGGCAAATTGAACGGTGGCATCTGTGGAACTCGGAGCGAGGTGAGTATTAACACGTCGACACCGCCTCGGGTGCTTGCTCAACATTGGAACCGGTTTCATGTTGGCTTTTGGTAAAACAGGAAAGGTCGGGCTGGGCCGAGTTACAACGATGTCTCGTCATCCTATTCTTTCCGCTGAAATCGTTTTCTTCAAACAAAAGATTCGCTCGTCGGGTCGGGAGTACAATGCGTGCCGGGGGCAGACTACCTCAGCAGACACAAATGAATGAGTGAATCGCAAAGTGTTGAATGTCGACAAATTGCCACAACACCAGTGCAACACAATAACAGCTCACATGAGAACTGTTGCCATTGCATGGCTAACAATGCTCTGTTTTGATGGACACCCTCAGAGAGGTCTTCCTTCCGGTTTTGATTTACAGTGGTGTCCAACTACACCCCGAGCGGAGGAAAACTCACGTATTGACTTGAGGACCGCTGCAGCCAAGTGGAGAGCGCCGAGGATAATGCGACAGCATCCAGAGCAAAGGCGAAGATGATGTTAGCGTGCGTTTACAACGGTGCCACGATGGCAAATCTGCTGAACCAAATATGTGACCGACAGTGGTTTACATCCACCGTACACTATTGCCTCGGCATGCTTGGAACTGCGGCTGACCAGGTCCAATTTCTATTTGAGTGCTTTTGGTCATGGGAAATGCACCAATTCCTCCACTACTTGTGTCTACTGAGAAAGCCTAAACACGGCAGCACCCAGTCGGTTCATGCGGCTGAGAATTTCACACACCCAAGAAAGCGCTCTTGTGCGTCAACTTTGCTGCGATCTTTGCTCCGTCTGCTCTCGCGGTCGAGACTTGCGGCAGAGGCTTGCTCGTCAGTTAGACAGCTGCGTCAATGCCGTTCGGACTCATACAAAATAATCCACAGTGAAGCTTAAGAAGTAGGAGATGGATTCTCTCAAAACACAAGAATATGACGACATCTTAAAGCAACATCTCGGGCACTGCTGCACCTTGCAACAGTTCGTCCCGACCATTTCCGCTGTCAAGGATCTAGGCTGACACTAACCCCCAGTCCAACGGACATCCTCACTGAACCCAAATATGTCTTTACCTGGATTCTGCATCCCGATTCCAAAGATATGATGTTTGAACAGACCCGATGAAGCTGGTACAAGTCAAAGCGGGGGGGGTCAATGTCAACATCTGCGCGACTCGCAAGCATCCTCAACAGGCCAAGATAATTGTGCGGCCAGAAACCATGGCGCAACGAGGGCAACGTTGGCCAAGAGGCAGAAATCCCAAGAAGGGGTGGACGGGCGGGCGGGATGGGGGAGCCACCGGAGCACCAAAAGAAAAGGAGGAGGGAAGTCGGCTGGGATCACTGTCACGGTCCTTGGGAGTCGACGGGTTGTGGCAACTCTCCAAAGCCCTTGTCCACCGCTGTGCCTTTTCTACCAATGACACAGAGAGTGAGACACATTGGGAGAGTTTAATCTGGCTCTCCCTCCCCTCATCATGTGTGTGCATCCCCCCGCCCCCTTCATATCTCATCATTCACCGGCAGTCAGATTAAACGGTAAGAGCGAGCGATTAACGCTGCGCCGCGCAGGCCGGTGGCTCGCGAGCAAACGCACTGCGTGGCTCCTGCCGTCCCCCGTAGCCTGAGGGGATTAGCCCAAGCTAATGCTAAGGTAAGCGCCGGAAGCTTCGGCCGACACACAAGCAGGAAGAGAAGGGAATGAGAGACTCTTCCGCTCCAGACCCAAGATGGCCAACCAGGCTTTGGAAGAAGAGTGACACAGATTTGTTCTTCCGTTTCTTTCCGCGTTTCTCGTGCTGTCCGTTTTTAAATGATTAGCAGCTTTCGCTTCTGTCTCAGGGCACTGAATCGATTGCAGCTGGACTGCTCGGTTTGCCTCTCACCCGGGTAGCTTCATCGGTTCATGCAACAAGGTGCCAGACTGGTGCAGTTCAAACTTGTGGCATGACCAGATGAAGCCTACTGGAGTGAGAGCCACAACCTCTTCAAAGACAAACAGAGCCGTCCCCTCGCATTGAGAATGAAAAGACACAGGTACAGGATTCACATAGCCAGCCAAGAGTTTTCAGCTGCTTTTCAAATCAACTCGGACCCAGGATAACCTCAGTCAGTCCACTGCGCACGTCGTACGGTCGTCAATAAATCCACAATGTCGTCCGTCAGTCGGTCACTCGGTAATACTGCGCACATAATAGGCATCGTGTAACATCCTGACTCCTTGCTACGCCGTTCTGTGGCTCACGGTCGTTCCTGGAAATGAAAGAAGTTCAATGAAGAACGATTGGCCACTCTGCTCGCTGCCAAACTCCAACTTTCAGTCTTGCCACGCCAGCCTGCAGGTTACAATTCGCCTTGATTCGGCTACCCGCCGTGCCGACAAACGACTGGACGAGTAGAGGACATTTATATCTGTCAGAGCAAAAAGTACACACAAAAAGATTGATATAATAAAATACTTGGACTGAGCCTCCTTTCCAATGGTGGGCCTCTCTCGACTGCTGTGACACAGATATCAGTGCTTTCTCTCCGTCACGTAGGAATCTCCATTTCCAGTCATACCTTTGGCCTTGCTCCCGGTACCATTTCTCCGTCTCTGACCCTCATCTTCTTCTTCGGCGATGGTGAAGAGTACGGGGGCAGCCGAGCGGCTTCCTCCCTTCCTCGGCCTCGGTTTGGAGCCCTCGCCTCTTCCCGCTCTTCTCCCTTTACGCCGTGGCATCTCAGCCTTCAAGCCATGTCAGGCCAGCGGTGCCGGTGGGTGCCGGACGACGACGCCACAAGCCCTTTCTCCGGGCTGCACGTTGCTGCACTTTGGCCGAGGCAGCAGGAAGAGTGAGAAACGCCGTCCCGAATAAACACATTGAGAGGACGGGCAAAGGAGCAAAGTACAGCGTGTGACGAGAGACAAACTACTCGCTGTGCTGTGTCCTCGCTCGGGCAAGAAGAGAGGGAGAGAGCGAGAGAGAGCCTGGGCTGGGCCAGTCTCGCCAAGGATGAGCTCTCTCAGGCTTAGAAAGAACAAGTTAATCCACAAGCTATGTGTTTCTTCTTTAGTTCTTCACTTCTCGTGTGATGACGCCCACCAGTCCCGTTTGCCCCCATTACTCTCATGACGCGCCGTCCCGAATACGCGTACCCTTAAAAGTGCATCAAGACAGAAAATGTCAAAAAGGAAGATAAAAGTGCCATGTGTCACAAGTGGCTTACACAACAGCATGTCTACCATTGGGAGCACAAGGTCACACAATCATCATTAGCTACCATCGCTAGTTAGAAGGCAAGGCAACTTCACTTACAAACTGAAGCACATTTCATGCGCAAGGCAACTCAATGTGCTTCACACAACATCTACGAGCAGTCACAAACAGGGCAGCCCGAGACATTCTCAAAGTAGCTTACTAAAATCACTAAAAGCAGGTACATTGACAACATTTATAAGAAAAATCTCAGCGCCTTACATCCACAATAACCATTTGAAATAATTAAGTCGGCATACGTGCCCTCAGGCTCAACGGTGCTCATTTCCAACGGGCGGTCCACCAATCAAGCTAACCATTTGACGGGAACTGGAAAGCAGGTGAGGTGCACGTCCGCATTCAATATTTATCAACGAGGAGCAGCGAGGTTGTTGCGGTAGCTCAACTTGTGTGCTATTTGCACGTTATGTCACGCACACTGCGTGTGCACACTTCACCGGAGTGGAGGGAGGTGAGCACAAGGGAGCTTCTAAAGCCGAACGTGGCAAATGCAACAGGATCGGAACCAAAAGGTCGCCGAGCTATCGCCACGTGTGTATTATTAGCGGCCCTACCGACGATACCGCAAACATTGGGACTATTTGTGCTGGCGTGTGCATGCGAGAGGAGAAAAGAAAACAAACATTAAGATTCATCAGCCAGCGCTGCATCTTCACGTCAGCTCACAACACGATTATCGAGTAGCGTCTTGATGACTTCATAGCATTCTTTGCAACAAGCCTGAAACTCACTTTGCAAAGCAAATTGGCTGACTTCGGAGCGGTGGTGATTATGTTCAAACACATTCGGCGCCGTGAACGTTTCTAGTCGTCAACTGCAATCCAACAGTTTACTGCCACCGGCAAATATATTTGTCAGGTATATTTTCCAATTGGGTAGGCGCGGAAGAAGGTCTCGCCGAGCTTGTCTGCGAATTTCAAGCTTCTGCAAAACTAGAGTGAGGACCAAACACCTGAAGATGGCGATGTTGTGTCGCTTTGGATTTACAAAGACCACAGCTTTCGAGCAGACAATCAAGACTAGACAGTGGATCTTGGCTTGTCATGATTACAAGGGAGGAAAAGGGCCTAACTTTGGAAGTCAGACAAGTTTAGACACCCCACACTCAATGTATAGGCGTGGTAGGTCGTGAAAAGCGTGCACCACGATCGTGAGAAAAGTTTGAATGACGAATGCCATGTAAAAAAGCCACTGAAATATATTTTGCGGAAAACAGTTATGGTTGGCCTCGTAGTTAGCAAAAGTGAACTCCTGCCAAATCCAAGAGATTTACAGGATACTCAAAATCAGATAAAACTGCCTGGGCTTCGAGTAAAAAAAAAACAACGGATTGTTTTTATTCATCGTTCAATTTTTTTTAGGGGACCTTACTTGGCGTTCTGACTTACATACAAATGCATTGTAAGTAGAGGACAATAGGTGGTAATTTTAAATAGCCAATGGAAGGCAGCTTGTGGCCAATTTACATTCTTTTTCTTAAGTCATATAGTAAAAAAAACTAAACTAAACAAACTGTAAAACACACTAGAAAATCCAAGTGTCTCGACGTCGATAAAAATACTCAACCTTGACAGCCACCTGTGGATAAAAAAAATATATATACCGGTAATTTCCCTCATGCATAAACTCACGCACATATCAGGGTTTAAAGGGCATTCTGCAATTTAAAACAGCCACCAAATGGCGAGTGGCAAGTTTTAAAGCAGTTTTCGCGGGTTGAATAAATGAAAACTGCTTGCGACTCCACCTGTCACTTCAAGCCGAGTGCAGTCGAACTGTCAGCGGCAGGTGTGCGCCAGCACCTCCGGGTTAGCTTAAAATATCAACAATGGCGGCCACAAAGCAAAGCGAGCACATTTATAACGTTTAAAATCACAAGAGTTCTTTTTTCAACATAAAGGCAAGATTGTTTTTTTTTCCTTCTTCTTCTTCTTCTTCTTCTTAATCCTTCGCTCGTGACCGGCCACACAGTCGTGGACTCTTCCTGTACTTTCGATCTTCAAATTAGTTCCGTCCGCGTTCAAACGCAACAAAACAACCCGATATACATATTTCATTCATTTATATTCATTTTGAAGACGACCGTCGATGCTCTTTCGGGGAGTTTGTCAAGTTTAAGGCGCGCGAGACTCACCTTGGGACGCCGGAGGAGATGCGTCGCTGCCATCCTGGTCCGCCATTTCTCCTGACGTCACTCGGCCCGGGAACCTGCCCGGAACACCGCGAGGATTCCCCGCCTCCCTCACCTTCTCATAGGGGCAGGTAGAAGGGGATACTCTGCGTGTTGTAAGACTTTGAGACGCCCTGGAACACTTGTCTTACCGAACTTCTCCTTGAAAATGGTCGTTTTGTTCGCAGGACATTCGGGAAAGGTGTTGAGGCCAAACTACCTGTTGTGTTTGCTATTGTGATGCTGCCATCTACAGGCATATGGCTGGTAATGCAGCTCTGGGCTCGCTGTTTTGTTGGCTTGAGGGGGCGTGGTAAATGCAGGCTGTGCTGTGATTGGCTGTTTTTTGTTGCCATAAGTTACATTTCGTTCAGTGTCAAATTATTTTTTTTTATATACAGCAGTTACTCTTAATGTAAAGAGGCCATCAAACGGTGAGGTAAAAAAAACAAAAAAAATTGTCATTGGTATAACTATATCTTTCAGAATTGATTTAAGCTTAAAAAATAGACAAGTGCAACAAGTGCATCCAACTGTGTCCACTTCAAATAAACTGTCAACAAATATAAACGGTTACGTCTCAACTCGTTTATTTGCTGCTTTGCGGTCGATTTAGTGTTACAATGTGCAGCGAACATCAAATTGCCGACGTGGCAGTGGCGGGTACCGTGTTTGGCAATATCATGCACCACACCTCTACGTTAATTGACAAGTGTAATTAGGTGGCTTGGAGATGAAATGCTGCTTCCAGGATGCACTCAAATCTCTACGAGCACTACCTTTATGCGGTTGTGAGGGTTGGTTGGCGGGGTGGTTCAACGAGCCAGTGGTGGCTTTGTGCAAAGGCCAATCATTTGCATTCTGGGCGTGGAAGATAAAACACCACATCAAAGCCAAAAAGGTACGCAGACCTGTATTGAGTTGTGTTGGATGCACAGAATAGTGTTGACCAAACACTGTTAGATTCTGATATGCGGCCCTTCATTTTTACAACCTGGAGCTGTGTTTGGCAACGTGTCTGCTGCCACAAACACGCTATGTAGTCAATACAGAATATAAAGTGTTGCGGTTACTACAGTAGACAGTTTACCAGGTTATCAGCTTACAGGGTGCATGAAAGGGTTAAAGTGGACATATTTTGTCACCTTTAGTTACAATGACTAGCACCGATTGTTGAAATCTCATTGGTGTCATTTTTTCCAGCAAGGGGCGCTCTAACCTTCGGTTTGAACTCAGTTCTGCTGCTCATCAGTTGGTAAACTATTGTACCCCAAATTACACGATGTTAATTCATTTGAGTCGCGTTTACATGCATAGTTATGAAAATTAAAATCTCTTTTCGAAGGGTACGTTTCGACGAAACTATGTTTCCTATTTTGCCCTATATTGCCACAATATAGGTGGCACCATTGCACCAACCTCTCTTTGCCACTGATGTCAATCAGGGAAAAAAACATCCAATTTCAATCGCAATTCCTTCTGCGGTATAGGAATTTAAATTGAGAGAGCTCATTAAAAGCGAGTAGCCGAGCATAACCGAGTAAGGCTTAAGCGTGCCTGGCTGAATGCTAATCTCTCATATCGATGCTCGACTGTGTCGGTTTAGCCTCCTGTGAACCCGCCTGTGAGACGGCCACCGATTGGCCGCGGACAGACGGAAACCATGGCAACCAGCTGTTTTGACAATTCCAGCCGCGAAGCGAGAGGCGGACGCGTGGAGGAGAAATTGGCCTGCAGGTCCCGACGCCAACATTGGGGAACCTACAGCGTGCGGGCCTTACGTAGCCCTCGAGTGAACAGCGGGGTCAGATGAACAGAAATGCCATTAAATCCGTTTAAAACTCAGCTGACAAAAAGCGGCACTTTGGCAGATGGTAATAAAGCCCCGCCCCCCCCGCCCCCCAAAAGAGGGGCTTCAAGTTGTTTATTGTGGCTGCCACATGAAGTTTACTGTCACATAAACAGGAAAGACAAAGACTGACATGTTTTGTATCGAAGAAAACCACATAACTTTGTCTGAAAAATTAGCTTAATGCTAGCATACAATGCAAACACCCATAAACAAGCTGACGGCTATTTGAACACAAACGGTGCAGCAACCCACATAGACAGACAATCGGCTCACACTGACAGGCATGTTTTTTTTTTCCTCTATGAAAATGGACTCATCTTATAAAATCCCTTATGATAGTTGGGAAAACCATTTTTCCTCGTCGACGTGACTGTATTTTACTTTATTTTTTGGCCAAGTCACACACACCAGAGGGAGCCACAATAAATTCATCCCGATGCGCAGACTGTTTAACATTTTACGCTGGCATGATGCATCTCATGTTTTTCGTCGGCGCACACGGTCTCGCTGTGTCTTTTTCACTTCTCCATCCGCCTTCCTCCTTCCTCCCTGCAAGGGGTGATGGATCGCTGAATCCAGCAGGGAGAGTGGGATGACAGAACATGTGACTTGGTTGGTATGGGGGAGGGGGGGGGGAGAGACAGAAGATGTACGGAAGATTTCCCAGGAAATGACTGGAGGACTCTGCTGGTGTCGAGCCAGCTGACTGGAAAAAACATGCTGAAGCAAGTGCAAGAGGGGTGGGGGTCTCCCATCCTTAGCTATTCTGCTCACATTCACCTTGCAGTCCCAATTATTCAAGGCCAGCCAGCCCCAGCTGTGAAAAGTGGGTCACGGAATTTAAAGGCGCACGCTCAGCTTCCAGCGTCCCCGCCGCACCCCCATCTTGACTCGCAGCATCCGCATGGCTGTTTGGGAACGCGTGTCTCAATGCGAAGACATCCGTTGCAAGCATTCACTGCGGCGTCCGGTTCTTTCGCGTGACTTGGGCACAGACTCTCCGCTGTGGCGCAAATTCTACCCAGCAACAGCGTACAGTAGGGCACTAGGCGAGTCATATGGGGCTAGACCGGCAGCAGAGAAAGGTTACTCATGCGCACCGTGAGCAATGAAGTCATCCTCTGCTGAACTCGACACACAACCAGACAGGGGCTGGCCTACTAAACTTCCACGGCGCATCACCGAGCACCCCCGACAGCACCTTTCGCACCACAAAAACAACATACGGTTTGTTAAAACAGCGCAGAGTTGTCTGCATTTTTATTATCCGCAAGAGAAAAAAAAACGAGCACACGCCTCTTACACATTACATTTTTTTTAAAAACAAGATTGCTTATCGTGGATGTACCGAAGAACAAAGAGCAACAACTGGAAAAAAAAAAACAAACAAAAAAAAGTCAATTGTAGTCTTAATAAAAAGTATCAAAAAGGAAGGTGTTTTATGAAAGAAAAACCTCTGGGCCAACAGACGCCCCCCTGTAGGCCTCCTCCCCTCCCACACGCTACTTAAAAAATACATGCAAAGCTTCCTATATGGACACTTTTAAAATACTTTCTCATAAATTATCAAATATTAGCCTATTGGCCCTGAACTGCTTCTCAGTAGAGGAAAATTCATCACGAAACCCGGATGCCTCACACTCGCTCGCAATTCGCGTCCGCCCAACATCACAGATAGTGTTTTAGTCCGGCATCACACAGTGAAAACGTTTTTTTGTTTGTTTTTTAAATACCTGGAAAGGACATTTAAAACAGCACCTTTTTTTCACAAGTTCTCCTGGATTCTTCCCGACGTATGAAGTCACGTCAATTCTAAATAAAAGTGCTATAAAGTTAAGAAGCTAAATTCAAAGTTTCTTGATTATAAGTTACTTATATCGTTAGTTACTTGGTCAGCCTTTATTTACTGTAGTAAGCATGCAAGACGGGTACTTTGTGTTCTAAAGAAAAATAAATAAATAAATACATCTACCCTCACTCTGCTTGTGTCTTTTGCAGCCAAGGGGGGGATTTTGTCACATTTTGTCCATTGCAATTCATTCATGGCTGAATGCGCGTTCAAGTGAGTGGGTCTCGTTTGGAACAAACGCAGGTGGAAGTCAAGAATCAGCGAGCCACCACAATTGCGCAACATGTCACCTTTCATATTTCGAATGTCTTGAAAAGTACCGCGCCCGCCCGATGGCTCTTGCCCTTTGACATTTCTTATTTCCATTTGACGAGTGTCAAGCTGTCCACAGACTTACAGTCGTTGCCTCTCGGTCATCCGTATGGTGAAGGTTCAACGCTGGGAAAGAGTCAATCGACATCAGGTGAGATGTGTTGGAACCCCCTCACCCACCCCTCCAAAAATGGCTGCGACGTGAGCAAAAGGCCACCAATCATCAGGCTTGTGGTCTGGAACTACAATGCCCATCATGCCTTGCTGCGGCACATCCAAACAGCGGGTAAATGGCAACATCCTCACATATATTAAAACGGTCCCCCACCCCGCAAAAAAAAGAGAAAAACATCCCTTCATGCAAAATATGTAATGAATTAAAAACTCATTTGCATGATGCAAGCAAGTGAGAGTGGAAGGATTATGAGCAAAAGAACGACACACCTTCACATGAACAATAATGGCAGTAACAGCAGAAAATACCTCAGTTAAAAAAAAAAAAAAAATGGTGAAGCACTTTCGTGCTACATTGAATTTCACAGCAATTGCAAGTACACACTTTGCTCCTCCCTTTTTTTTTTTTTTTGTTGTTGAGATTTTCCATCTCTTTGGCTGTCGGGGGGCTTGAAAACGAGCAAATGTGAAAAGTCGGCGATGCCGTTTGCTACGTACCCCTTTTCACAGTCCAGTAATGTACAGACTATATTTGACATTGTGTGTGGAGCGAGTATGCACGAGTGGTTGCGGAAGTGACGCGGCTTATGTACGGATGAGTTGCTCGAGTGTCGTGGCGGGGCGGCAGAAGCCGCGCGTCGATGAGGCGACGTCGAGGCCCCCGACATTATAGAGCCTTCTTTGATGGAGCGCTGAGCTTCCTCATTCCTCTTATCCTGCCCAGCAACTCGCGGACAAAATCCTATGAGAGCAGAATCGGAAAAGACCGGGAGTGAAAATTCTGTCAACCTGGCAGCGCAGGCGACAGGCGACCTCGTAACGGTTACCGGCCGACCTCATGCCACATGGTTTAAAAATAAAAAAAAAACTTCCACTTCTATGCAGGTGACCGATGGGAATTCCCGGCTGTATGACAAAAGGTGATAAGATTGGCACGCTGGCCCTGTTAATTGCTATCGTGGACTAACCCAACCTTACGTACACACCTTCACATTCAAGTCGTCAATTTACACGCATACGTCATCAGTGCGTGTGTGTGCGTACGTGCGTGCGTGCATGCGTGCGGCTTGCATTGAGCACAGACTTCCTGGATGCACACATGGGTCACGCGAGGATCAATAATGTCACGCCACCACCATTTGCAGTCGCTCACCGAGAATGAACGTTCTCCTGTATGTACGTATGAAAGGCAGACTCACCTCTGTTGGTTTGTAACAGTCTGTTAGTGACTCCTGTGTGTGGAAAAAGAAGAACATTGTTCAGGGGTGGACTCAGATTCCTTCAGAACACCCAAAAGACCCCTTGAAGGGGGTCTTGGTATTTTCAATGCGGAGGCAACGTCTTCAACAACATTCCGCTATTCGGTTGACTCTGATGGGTGTGGAGGGGGAGTGGGGTGCTGTCTGATGTTCCATGTCACAATATCGTCGATGTTCCGGTCAGCTACAAGATTTACAGCGTGCCCAAGTCGGGCCCGCCATTGTTTCGAAAGAAATTGCAAACAAAAGCTCCCCCAACTTTGCACACACATCGAGCCTGCACCAAAAAGTGATTCGTTTAAACTTGTCATACACGACGGTGAAAAAAATGTGTCCGTAGCAAGGAAGAGAGCTTGAATTTTTAGCATGAATTCAATGGCTTTTATCGGTCTCTGCGGAACAATACAAAGGTCTCGCAGCGTACCTGCAGCTTGACGGCTCGCTCGTCATCACTGTTGACCTCCAAAAGGTCGTCGATGTCTATTTCCACCTCAGGCATCTCTTCCTCCTGCGGAAAGCGGTCACAAAATAGTGCAAATCAGACCAATTCCTTGCCGCGCAGCAGCTATTAAAATGTATGGGTTGGCTCTGGACCAAAAAAAAAACGCCATCAGAGTTGGCTGCAAGGGACGCGGACGACTTCTTTGGATCAGCCCCACCTTTCCGTGGAGGTCTCGGTCCACTTGCTTGCTACGCGGCAAGTGTCAAGATGAAGGCAAGAAGCAGAAACGGGTTGTAAACAAAGAGAATGAGCCTGGCGCTTAGTCAGGGCCCCGACCTCGGAAGGCGGGAAAGTGCTTTATCGGGTCGCAAAAGCGCCGAGCACGTGTCAGACTAGGTTTCGCCGACAGCTGGCAACGCGCCGTCTGCTTCGGGGGTGACGGAACGCTCATGCAAGCGGCCCGACGCGGTGACTCAGGAACCCGATTCAGACTGAACGATACTCGTCACGGTGGTGTGAACGAAACCTGACCTGTCAAGTGGATCATGCTCCCGCAAGAGGTCAAAAGAAGAAGGTATTTCCAATTGGCTTGGAAAGGTAGATAGAGTAAAACCCCTGACCGAGCCTGTTTTTCCAACACTGGGCGCGGAGGCGGAATTGGCTTAAGCCGCTTTTATCGGCTAAATACTGTGACAACAAGAGCCGTAAACGCAGCGGTGGAACAAATGACAACAATTGGCGACAGTTTTTCAACAACAAGAAAATGGCGAGCTTTGTTTCCGCTCCGTCATTTGCCGCTCATTCCGCGGGCCGCCGCTACGTCACCCTTTCAGGTAGCGTGCTGCCGTGTGAAGGACGCTACGTATGGATCGGGTCTCTTGGTCCCCTTCAAGGGTAGAAATCAAATCAATCGCATAGCTTAGCCTTTAGTCTGCCAGCTTCTGGCTAAAGCTAATGATCAGGGGACGCGGCAGGGTCACGACGGATAAAAGCGCTCTCTCACGGCACCACGGTGGACGCGGCTAGCGTTTGGCAAAAGGCCAGTGAAGTTCATCAAGTTGTGGCACTTGGGCGGCCAACGTCGGGGTTGTGCCACTTGGGGACGCGCCCGGATAAGCGGGTCACTTGTAAGCATGAGAAAGGAGTGCGCACCCGAGAAAAGCTTCCAGCTCAGCTACCGTGGGTGCCGCATCAAAGCGTGGAGGCGCTCAAGGTGGGACGAATTCAACCCCGGAGACCGAGCGCCGCGTGGGGATGCCAGCAAGATGAAGGTGAACTCGCGAGGCCTCTTCCCAAGGCCCCGAGAAAGAAGTCACGGACGAGCCGCGCTAATTCGGCCGGACACCTTACGTCACCTGTCGAGGGCGTCTTTGATGCGCATTAGTCATACGCCGGAATTTATGAGTCCTCTTTGAATCCCGACAAAGGTGATTTAGACGCCGGCCTGCTCTTTTGGAGCTTTTTGGCAATTGACACGAGAGTCGAATTTAAAAGCAAACGGCGGCACAATCGAGAGTTTTGTCGAGCTCTTTTATGAACATGAAACGATGGCCGTATTTGTGTTCAATGTGGAGGTGCGCAAAAGGCTTTCTACTTGGACTTGATAATGGCTCGATCCATTTTTTTCAAAGGAAAAACCAAGCCTCTATGGCTCATTTCCCTCAGGGGGTTTTGTAAGGTAGCGACAATCAAGCAGCAACCACCCCTGCATTTTGAAGCGCCCGCACGGGGTTGTTTTTCTGCCGCTCCTGTGCACGCTTCAAGGGGGGGTTGCTGTTGAAAAAGGGCTTGATTGCAGCCTCGTTTGGCTAATCCCTCCCCCACTTTAAGTCCCCGACCAAAGCCGCGACCCCCACTGACATGCCCGCGAGCAATTCGTGGCCGCCTGTAACGGACCGGAGAAACGGACAAGTGTCAGCAGGTAACTCAGACACAGGGGTGCCTTGACTCCTTTTTTTTTTTCCCTCATTGTGCTATGAGCCAAAATGGAAATTACCGGCGAGCGTCAGATATGCCTCAACTGGATTTAAGTGAAAATCAAAAAAGCAGCAGTGTACTCTGGGAAAAAAAGTACATGATTCAAATATGTTTAACTAAGACATCTCATTTGTTTATTTTAAGTCAATTCAGAGGATGATTTTTTTTTTTTTTTTCAAAATTGATTCATTTTTTCAGCGTAGGCACTTTGACGCACTCGCTTGTGGGCAAGGAGAGCCACAATCGCCGTTGCACTTTGAGCCAAACGGGTCAAGCAGTCAAAAACACAAAGGCAAAATGAGAAACGGCAGCCAGCGCTCGCTCACACCCAGACGCTCACACGCAGTCTAACCGGATAACCTTTCTCCGGCTCCGGCTGTCACTCATTGGCCACGCCCCTGACAGGCACACATCCGACACCCAAATACTACAGTCGTTACAATCATCACGCATCACTGGAAGTCGTTTCAGACAACGCGGCGCTATTTTTCTCGATCAAAACCCATCACAATGGAAGCGCTCCATCGGAGCTTGTTTGCCGATCAAAACCACAGAAGGAGAATGAGGAGGAACAAAACATGAGGTCGACTCATGTTTTGCGCTCACATTTTCTACCTTTTCAGGTGATGTGGCGAGCCAGTGTGATTGGCCACTGCGATGACTTTTCTGCCAGACATTTTGGAGCGTTTTGACGGCTCTTTCAAGACCCACACAACATTGGGCTCCGTCACGATCTGAGCATCATGAGGAAATGCTCTTCTTTCATTCGGAAAAAAAAACATAATCACAAAACAAAACAAGAAATAGAATTGTTTCCCTCCCCTTTATCCGTTCTTTAATAGCCAGCAGAAGCACATGGTGGCTATGCCCAAAAACACGGGCTTTAGACCAAAAAGGGGAAAAAAACAAACAAACAGGTTAAGCAGAACCATGAATTTTATTATTTATTTCTTTTTTTTTTTTTTTTGCTTTTGTATCTAACCAAAAAACCAAGACTGAAAATGAGAATTTCTCGACAAACGTGCAACCCAAAAACACGGCCTGGGTGACGCGTGACTTGAGCTGGCTGGACGGTCATCGATTCTGCGTGTGCAAAAACCGAGGCGAAGAAAATGGTCAAAAATGTGCAACGCGCCAAAAGCAAGGCACGGCAAAACCGAGGTTTCCACTCCATGTCCCGTACTGTATGCACGCCACCGAAAACTAAAAGGGCTTCTTCCGCTCCTCCATAGACAAATCCGATGCCACCTTTAGCCGCGACTCTGCTTTAGCCGTTCATATTTGAGGCTTCTGTTACGTGCTTGGAACGGTTTCAACAGCCGTTGGCTCTCCTCTCCTTGCCAGCGCCTCTTGAATTCGTTTCATGACAGACGCACGTGTCGGCAGGCGCCGCGTCAACACGCGCCGACACGCGTCGATTCGAATGCGATGGCACGCCGGCAATTCAAATGACAGGCCCATAGAGATTTGCCCGGCGGTCACAAACGCTAACCTTCCCGCGTGTCCGATCTATAAACGGATCGAGGTCGTCGTTGACGGCCGTCCCGTCGAGCGCCGGCCCCGTCTGTCGGCCTCGCTCGGCCATTTGAGGTTTCGGTCGAGCGGACGATCACTGAAAGCGGATCTCAAGGCGGCCATTTTCTTTATTCAAAAAGGAATTTAATTAATCAAAGTGCCCTCGGGCTGGCATCGTAAATGTCACCGCTCACCTGTTTTGTGGCTTCGCCCAAGTGATGTTGGCAATGCGAGCCTGAGGGCGGTGCGGGACAAAATGCCAGCGCCCGCCCTGCTGAAATAGGAAAGATCCGTGGGGGCACCTAAAATAAATGATCGCAAAGACAAAAAAAAAAATTGGGCTCGTCTTCCACTTGAAGTGACTTTCCACACTTCCAATGTGTGAATAGCGCATAAAAACAACCGACAGCGTGCGGGCAGACCAGTCATATCGTTTGGTGAAAAATATGAAATTTGGACGAACAAAGTTTGACTTTTTTTTTGTAACCTCATCTATAAATGACCTGGTCTCGATGTCTGAAAATCAAATGCGGCCCAAAGGTTTGTATTGGAAGCAGTTGGTGCAAAGGCCATATGGGGAGCGACTATTCATCGCCAATCACCCACAAAGCTTTACAGATGAAGCACGTGTCCCCAGGCGCTACTCTCGCACCCCCCCCCCCCATGTATTTTTCCACTCTAGATATCATGATCTATCTCCTGTAGCAGCCCCGCCCCCCCTTCCACCCCCATCCCCGCTTCTCTTGTGACCTTGTCGATAGTTCCCCGTGGTCGCCTTTCCCGGTTTTTCTTTCCTTCGCCCGAGGAAAAGACCGACAACGCCGTGTTATGTGAACCTGACGCGGCGGCAGAGAGAAGACGCTGCAATTGAAGCCAAATCGTTACAAACGCTCGATAGCTCAAGGGCAATACCTTCGAGGTGGTCTGGATCCAATTTGACACGACCGTCATTCCGTTTCAATCACACGGTGAATTGAAATGTTTTTGATCCGTTCCAATCTGCCCGCCATCTCCCAAAAAAAAGCACAGATTTTTGTCACGTCTCTGTTGTCTTTTAGGGGAGCGAAAACAATGACACACTTTTTGCCACCCTGCATCCGTTCAAGAGCCGCCATGCTGCTCCTCGTGGTGTGCCCACTTTGGCCACCTGGGGGCAGCACAGGGCAGACCGATGGGTAAACTATTCTTTGAGGGGTCTCCACTCCTCTCGGCTCATCAGTACGACACAAATATTCGTCATTCTTCGCAGAGGATCAAGAATAGGGCTGCTAATTTTCTGCCATTCCCACAACACACACTCACATTAATCCGATCACCGGTTATGCCGCATTTACATGGACGTCAATGAGTGTTTCTTGTTGTCCGGCAATGAGATAAATATTGACTCTGCTCCAGGCTCTCTCGAAAAAGTCGTGAGTCGGATCACTCGTGTCTCACGGCATGTCACATTTTGACGTGAGAGTATGAGGAGATGCGCGGAGTCCCTGCCACTGAATCTGAACTGTCATTTCATGAAAGCTGCACAGCGTCGACCTCTACCGAGGCCCTAATCCTGATTGGAATCAGTGCCAAATGCCACGGCTGATTTTTTGTCATTAAGAGTCATGTGTTATTCAGCAAGAAACCAAGCAAAATGTCAGGGAGGAGGCACCAAAGTCTACGCGGGAAGTCAAGCAAGCGAGGGCACTTTCATCCCACGCTTAATCACCCATCATGAAATCAAAGACTGGAGAGGCTAAAGATAGAAGCGAGGAATTCATATCCCAGGTGAAATCCAACCCGTGATGGCAGACGGATGCCGCGTGACCGTGAAATGCCCGTCCGACGTCTACACTTTTTGCCTGGCAAACTTCGGATGCTGAAATGCCGGTGAGCCGCTTTGAAATGGGAGGCCGGTCAATCGCTCACACGGACCCCATCATTGCCAACAAGCGGCGCGGCTCCATTTGGCATACCGCAGACTGCAAAGATTATTCGAATCGCCCGGAAATGTAATGATTAAAAAAAACAACAACAAAAAACGCCGGCCTCAAAGCTTCACAGTTGGCCGTCTGAGCTCACAACAGCCAAGCCCCCCCAAACCCCCCCCCCCCAAACACACACACACTTAAAACAGTCCAAGTAAATCATCTGCGTGACTCGCCCACTGCATCGACCCAGCTTTGTGTGTGAGCGTGCGTGTGTGTGCGCATATGCGTGTCAGTGTGTTGAGTGGCAGCAGTGGCCATTGGCTGGCGAGGAGACGAGTCACAGCATCAGCACATCCTTAACCCACTGCCCTTCTTTTCCGAGTCTCCAGCAGCGCACCCCTCCCGCTTACCCCCTCCCCCTATTATCTCCCTCTTTGCTCAGCTCTGGTGGCAGGTGTCATCTCAAACACACACACACACACACACACACACAGAGGATGAGCTACTCAGTCCCTATCCTCTGCATGTTTTCAGCTAAAGCCTCCTCGTGGCCAAGGTTCCCACACTTGAAGGAGCAGCACAATGACCATGGAACTGAAGCAACACAAATGTTGCAAACGCCCTCTTTATCTTCTCCGCTGGAAAAAAAATGGTGGCTTGAATTGAGTCCATTTGAGGTCACCAAGTGATTGCACGAAATAAAAACATCTTGTTCCAAAAAGGTAGAGCAGCAACCTCTTCTCAAATGTATCTGGATCCAGAGTATCCCGTGCAACCATTTGACAAAATCAAATTGAGTACATTCAATACACCATTTTTTTCAGTGGATTGAATGATGTATCTTCGTGTACAGATGTATTCTTCATATTATGTATTTTCTCCAACGTAATATTTTGGGCGACTCCAGATATTTAAATCACCGCCGTCTATATAATATATATATTATTTTTTCTTCCATGTCGGCGTGACACCTGGGGGACTTTATCCAACTCAAAACAGACAAGTAGCAGTTGTCTACAATTAATTGATGACACGAATGAGTCAAATGCAGGAAGGAAGCTCTCGAATTCCGATTTTACACGTAAAACAAAGAGACAAAGAAACAAAACGGTTGTTTGTAGGCTGACCTCGCAGTCGTACAGTTCGCTGAGCTGCTCGATGATCCACTCCTCCAGCACGAGCCGCTTCCTGAGCTCCTTGCGGTCGTACTTGACGGTCACTTTGCCCTGCCGCTTCTGC